CCCATTGATCCCATTGACTGAAATGACCCCGCTGACCCCACAGCAACCTGGGCCGGAAGCGGCTGGAGCCGGAGCGCTCGGAGCTCTGTCCCTGTCCCATTGACCCCACTGATCCCATTGATCCCATTGATCCCATTGATCCCATTGATCCCATTGATCCCAGTGACCCCATCGATCCCAGTGACCCCACTGATCCCATTGATCCCATTGATCCCAGTGACCCCATTGATCCCAGTGATCCCAATAGCAGTGACCCCACTGATCCCATTGATCCCAGTGACCCCATTGATCCCATTGGCCCCATTGATCCCATTGATCCCAGTGACCCCATTGATCCCAGTGACCCCACTGATCCCAGTGACCCCACTGATCCCATTGATCCCATTGATCCCATTGATCCCAGTGACCCCATTGATCCCAGTGACCCCAGTGATCCCAGTGACCCCACTGATCCCATTGATCCCATTGATCCCATTGATCCCAGTAACCCCATTGATCCCAGTGATCCCATTGATCCCAGTGATCCCAGTGACCCCATTGATCCCAGTGATCCCATTGATCCCGCTGATCCCATTGATCCCAGTTATCCCAGTGACCCCATTGATCCCATTGGCCCCATTGATCCCATTGATCCCAGTGACCCCATTGATCCCAGTGACCCCATTGATCCCATTGATCCCATTGATCCCAGTGACCCCACTGATCCCATTGATTCCATTGATCCCATTGATCCCAGTGACCCCATCGATCCCAGTGACCCCACTGATCCCATTGATCCCATTGATCCCATTGATCCCAGTGACCCCATTGATCCCAGTGATCCCAATAGCAGTGACCCCACTGATCCCATTGATCCCAGTGACCCCACTGATCCCATTGATCCCATTGATCCCAGTGACCCCATTGATCCCAGTGACCCCAGTGATCCCAGTGACCCCACTGATCCCAGTGATCCCAGTGACCCCAGTGATCCCATTGGCCCCATTGATCCCATTGATCCCAGTGATCCCAGTGACCCCATTGATCCCAGTGATCCCATTGATCTCGCTGATCCCATTGATCCCAGTGATCCCAGTGACCCCATTGATCCCATTGGCCCCATTGATCCCATTGATCCCAGTGACCCCTTTGATCCCATTGGCCCCATTGATCCCAGTGACCCCATTGATCCCACTGATCCCATTGATCTCACTGACCCCACTGACTGAAATGACCCCCATGACCCCAATGACCCCATTGACCCCACTGATCCCAATGACCCCAATCATCCCAATGACCCCATTGATCCCATTGACTGAAATGACCCCGCTGACCCCACAGCTACCTGGGCCGGAAGCGGCTGGAGCCGGCGCGCTCGGAGCTCTGTCCCTGTCCCATTGACCCCACTGATCCCATTGATCCCAGTGACCCCATTGACCTCATTCATCCCACTGACCCCCATGACCCCTGTGACCCCATTGACCCCACTGACCCCACTGACTGAAATGACCCCATTGACCCCAATGACCCCATTGACCCCACTGATCCCAATGACCCCAATCATCCCAATGACCCCATTGATCCCATTGACTGAAATGACCCCGCTGACCCCACAGCTACCTGGGCCGGAAGCGGCTGGAGCCGGAGCGCTCGGAGCGCGGCGTGCCGGGCGTGCGGCAGCTGCTGCGCCCGGGCTACTCCTACTGGAGCCTGGGCTACGCGCTGTCCCTGCGCGGCGCCCGCAAGCTGCTGGCGGCCGAGCCCCTGGGCAAGATGATCCCCGTGGACGAGTTCCTGCCCCTCATGTTCGACCGGCACCCCAGGTACCACCGTTGTGGGATTTGGGGTCAGGGATTTGTGGGGTTTGTGGGATTTGTGGGGTTTGTGGGATTTATGGCGTACAGGGACGAGTTCCTGCCCCTCATGTTCGACCGGCACCCCAGGTACCACAGTTGTGGGATTTATGGGATTTATGGGGTACAGGCACGAGTTCCTGCCCCGCATGTTCGACCGGCACCCCAGGTACCGGATTTGGGGTCAGGGATTTGGAAGATTTGGGGGATTTGTGGGATTTATGGGATTTGTGGGATTGGGAATGGGGAATATGGGATACAGGGATGAATTCCTGCCCCTCGTGTTCAACCAGCACCCCAGGTTCCCATTTTTCCCCATTTCTCCTGAATTTTCTCCCATTTTTCACCCATTTTCCCCCCAGCCCCGAGTACTCCCGGCACTTCTCCCGGACCTCTCACCTCTTTCCCCCCCATTTCCCCCATTTTCCCCCCATTTCTCCCATTTTTTCTCGTTTTTTTCCCCCAATTTTTCCCCATTTTCACCCAATTTCTCCCCATTTTTTCCCCCCAGCCCCGAGTACTCCCGGCACTTTTCCCAGATCTCTCACCTCTTTCCCCCCCCATTTCCCCACCATTTCTCCCATTTTTTTTCCCATTTCACCCCCAAATTTCCCCCTTTTTTTCCCATTTCACCCCCAAATTTTCCCTATTTTTTCCCATTTTTTCCCATTTTCCCCCATTTTTCCCCATTTTTCACCCATTTTCCCCCTAGCCCCGAGTACTCCCGGCACTTCTCCCGGACCTCTCACGTCTTCCCCCCCCATTTCCCCCAATTTTCCCCCCATTTCTCCCATTTTTTCTTGTTTTTTCCCCATTTTTTCCCCATTTCCCCCAATTTTTTCCCATTTTCCCTCCATTTCTCCCCATATTTCCCCCATTTTCCCCCAATTTTTGCCCTTTTTCCCCCATTTTCTCCCCATTTCTCCCGTTTTTTCCTTGTTTTTTCCCCGTTTTTTCCCATTTTCCCCGTTTTTCCTCGTTTTTTTCCCATTTTTCCCCATTTTCACACAAATTCCCCCGTTTTTCCCCAGCCTCGAGTACTCCCGGCACTTCTCCTGGATCTCTCACCGCTTTCCCCCCATTTCTCCCATTTTTTCTCGTTTTTTCCCCGTTTTTTCCCATTTTCTCCCGTTTTTTCCTCATTTTTTCCCCATTTTTTCCCCATTTTAACCAAACTCCCCCGGTTTTCCCCGAGCGCCGAGTACTCGCGGCACTTTTCCTGGATGTCTCACCACTTTCCCCCCGTTTTCCCCCCGTTTTTCCCCATTTCCCCCCGTTTTTCCCCATTTTTCCCCATTTTCACCCAAATTTCCCCCGTTTTTTTCCCCCCCAGCCCCGAGTACTCGCGGCACTTTTCCCGGCGGGACCTGGTGGCGTTTTCGGCGGAGCCGCTGCTGCTCTTCCCCACGCACTACACGGGGGAGCCCGGCTACGTCAGCGACACCGAGAGCCCCCCGGAGACCCCCGAGAGCCGGGATCGGGACGGGGACGAGGAATTCCCGAGGGAATCCCGGAATTCCCAACTCCCGGAGAAACCCGAAATTTGGGATGAGGATGGGGAGGAGGAGGAATTCCCGTGGGAATCTCAGAATTCCCAACCCCGGCGCGACAGCGACGCCCGCGACGAGCTCTGACCCCAAAATCTGGGGATTTCTGGGGAAAAATTCCTGCGGGAATCCCGGAATTTCCATCCCCAGAGCCCCCCAGAATTTGGGATTTTTTGGGGAAAAATTCCTGCGGGAATCCCGGAATTTCCATCCCTGGCAGGACACCAAGAACCCCCAAAAATATCCCCAAAATTTGGGATTTTTGGGGAAAAATTCCCATGAGAATCCCAGAATTCCCAACCCCAGCACAACACCGAGAGCCCCCCGGAGACCCCCCAGAGCCGGGATCGGGATGGGGACGAGGAATTCCTGAGGGAATCCCGGAATTCCCAACTCCCAAAAACCCCTGAAATCCAGGATGGGGAGGAATTCCCGTGGGAATCTCAGAATTCCCAACCCCGGCGCGACAGCGACGCCCGCGACGAGCTCTGACCCCAAAATCCCCAAAATTTGGGGGGATTTTTATAAACAAATAAAGTTTCTATTTTTATTTTTAATCCTGGTTTGGAGTTTTTCTATTCCCCTTTCATTACCGAATAAAGTTTTTATTTTTATTTCTATTTTTAAAGGGGTTTTTTAAATCATTTTTAACTCTAGTTTGTGTTTTTTTCACCCCCCCCCCTTTCCAGGTGTTTTTGGGGAAGATTTTGGGCCGTTTCCCATCCTGAAATTCCAGGATTTGGGAGTTTGGGATGGTCCTTGGGGGACAGGGAAACTGAGGCAGGAAAAAAAACCCCAAAATTCAGGGAAAATCCCCCAAAATTCAGAGAAAAATCCCCAAAATCTGGGGAAAAATCCCCAAAATTCAGTGGGAAAAATCCCCAAAATTCAGTGGAAAAATTTCCCAAAATTCCCAAATTTGGGATCCCAGGAAAGGGAAACTGAGGCAGGGAAACACACTGGGGAAACTGAGGCACGAGGGGGATTTGGGGGTTTTTAGGTGGATTTGGGGGGATTTTGGATTTTTGGGGGGATTTTGGGGTTTTTGGGGGGATTTTGGGGTTTTTGGGGTGTTGGAATCTTTTCCTGGGGCATTTTTTGGGATTGTTTTGGGGGATTTTCAGAGATTTTTTGAGGTATTTTTGGGCTGTTTTGGGGATTTTTGGGGGCGTATTTTTGGGGGATTTTCAGGGATAATTTTTTTGATATTTTAGAGATATTTTGGGGATATTTTCAGGACATTTCCAGGACATTTTGGGGTTATTTTCAGGGTTATTTTCGGGGTGATTTTGGAGCATTTTGGGTCTCAGAGCTCGTCGTGCTCCTCGTGCAGGGCCGGGGGCTCCCCGCAGGGTTTGGGGGATTTTTGGGGATATTTTGGGGACATCAAGGGGACATTGGGAACACTGGGAGGACACTGAGGGGACACCGAGGTGACATCAAGGGGACACTGGTGACAACGCCATCGTTTATTCCCGCGACACCGAGGGAGGTGGTGACAGTGACACCTTGGGGACACCTTGGGGACACCTTGGGGACATTCGGTGTCACACGCTGGTGGCATCACTGTCGTCACCGGGTTCATGGTGGCACCTTGGGGACACTTTGGCCACATTCGGTGTCACACGCTGGTGGCGTCGCTGTCATCACCAGGCTCATGGTGGCCCCTTGGGGACACTTTGGGGACATCGTGGTGGCCCCGGGCCCTGCGCAGCTCCTGCTCCAGCCCCGAGAGGCGCCGCTCCTGCAGGGAGGGGACACCGAGGGGACACTGAGGGGACACTGAGGGGACACCTTGGTGTCACCCTCTGGGTCATCTTGGTGTCCCCTGTGTCCTCAGTGTCCTCTCTGTGTCACCCTCTGTGTCACCTATGTCACTCCCAATGTCCCCCAGTATCCCCTCAATGTCCCCCAATGTCCCCCAGTGACCCAAATGTCCCCAAATGTCCCCTCAGTGTCCCCAGTGTCCCCCTAATGTCCCCAGTGTCCCTTCAGTGTCCCCTCGATGTCCCTCCAGTGTCTCTAATGTCACTTCAGTGTCCCTAATGTCCCCTCAATGTCCCCCAATATCTCTCCCATTGTCCCCCATTGTCCCCCAGTGTCCCCAGTGTCCTCCCATTGTCCCCCATTGTCCCAGAGTGTCCCTCCATGTCCCCCCAGTGTCCCCTCAGTGTCCCCTCAATGTCCCCAATATCCCCTCAATGTCCCTCCGGTGTCCCTAATGTCCCCTCAGTGTCCCCAGTGATCCAAATGTCCCCAGTGTCCCCCCAGTGTCCCCTGATGTCCCTTCCAGTATTCCTCAGTGTCCCCTCCCAGTCTCACCAGTGTCCCCAGTGTCCCAAACATCCCCAAATGTCCCCGTCCCAGTGTCCCCAGTCTCACCAGTTCCCTCCCAGTTCCCTTCCAGTTCCCTCCCAGTCTCACCAGTTCACTCCCAGTCCCTCCCAGTTCTCTCCCAGTTCTCTCCCAGTTCCCTCCCAGTATCCCCAGTCCCTCCCAGTTTGTCCCAGTTCCATCCCAGTATCCCCAGTATCCCCTCCCAGTCCCTCCCAGTTTGTCCCAGTTCCGTCCCAGTCTCACCAGTTCCCTCCCAGTTCCCTCCCAGTTCCCTCCCAGTCTCACCAGTTCCCTCCCAGTATCCCCAGTATCCCCTCCCAGTATCCCCAGTCCCTCCCAGTTTGTCCCAGTTCCCTCCCAGTATCCCCAGTATCCCCAGTCCCTCCCAGTTTGTCCCAGTCCGTCCCAGTCTCACCAGTTCCCTCCCTCTCTCCTCGTTGCTTTTCAGCCTCTCCAGGTCCTTCCTGCGGGTGCCCTCGGCTGCCGTCAGCCTGGGATGGAACGGGATAAACTGGGATGAACTGGGACGAACTGGGACAAACTGGGGCAAACTGGGACAGAATGAGGCTAACTGGGACCCCACATTGGGATAAACTGGGATAAACTGGGACAGACTAGGATGGGACCAAACTGGAGCAAACTGGGATAAACTGGGCCAAACTGGGGCCCCAAACTGGGGACAGACTGGGACAGACTGGGGCTAACTGGGACCCCCAACTGGGGCCAAACTGGGACAATGGGGGAGGACTGGGATGGGGCCAAACTGAGACCAAACTGGGACCAAACTGGGACAAACTGGGACCTCAAGCTGGGGCCAAACTGGGAAACTGGGATAGACCAAACTGGGACAAACTGGGACTCCAAACTGGGGCAAACTGGGACAAACTGGGATCCCAAATTGAGATAAATTGGGACCAAACTGGGATCCAAACTGGGAAACGGGGATGGGACCAAACTGGGACTAACTGGGATAAGGATGGACCAAACAGGGACAAACTGGGGCTAACTGGGACTCCAGAGTGGGAAACTGGGATGAAACCAAACTGGGACAGACTGGGACCCCAAATTGGAACCAAACTGGGACCCCAAATTGGGATAAAATGGGACTAAACTGGGACAGACTGGGACAAACTGGGACAAACTGGGATGGGACCAAACTGGGACAAACTGGGATGGGACCAAACTGGGACAGTGATGAGCGGACTGAGATGGACCAAACTGGGGCTAACTGGAGCTAATTGGGACCCCAAACTGGTATCCCAAACTGGGCCAAACTGGGGCTAACTGGGCCCCCGAACTGGGCCTAAACTGGGAAACTGGGATGGACCAAAGTGGGACCAAACTGGGGCAAAATGGGACCCCAAACTGGGACCAAACTGGGACCCCAAATTGTACCAAACTGGGACCTCAAACTGGGACAAACTGGGACCCCAAACTGGTCCGAACTGGTCCAAATTGGGCGGTGTGTCCCACCTGGCGGCCCGGTTGGCGGCGCGGGCGTTGCCCTCGTCCCCCGATTTGGGGTCCCCCGTGTTCAGTGACACCCCAGCTTTGGCACACCCCAAATTTGGGACCCCCCCACCCCATTTTAGGACCCCCCCCACCCCATTTTGGAGGTTCCCCACCCCATTTTGGGGGTCCCACACCCCATTTTTGGGGTCCCCACGCGCACCTGGCGGCCAGGTTGGCGGCGCGGGCGTTGCCCTCGTCCAGCTGCCCCCGCAGCCGCTCCAGGCGCTCCCGGTGCCGCTCCTCGGCCCGCGCCGCCCGCGCCTCCGCCCGCTCCAGGCGCTGCCGCAGCTCGGCCAGCTCGGCCCGCAGCGCCTCCAGCAGCCGCCCGTGCTGCGGACACCGGGATGGGGACATTGGGGACACCGGGGATAACGGGGGACACCGGGGATTGGAGACACTGGGGACATTGGGGGACACAGGGGACTGGGGACACCGCCCGCTCCCGCAGCTCCGCCCGCAGCGCCTCCAGCAGCCGCCCGTGCTGCGGACACCGGGATGGGGACATTGGGGACACCGGGGATAACGGGGGACACCGGGGATTGGGGACATTGGGGGACACAGGGGACTGGGGACACCGCCCGCTCCCGCAGCTCGGCCCGCAGCTCCGCCCGCTCCGCCCGTGCTGGGGACACCGGGACCGGGTCACCGGGACATTGGGGACACCGGGGATAACGGGGGGTAACGGGAATTGGGGACATTGGGGACACCGGGGATAACGGGGGGACACCGGGGTTTGGGGACATTGGGGACACTGGGGATAACGGGGGGACACCGGGGTTTGGGGACATTGGGGACACTGGGGGACACAGGGGACTGGGGACACCGCCCGCTCCCGCAGCTCCGCCCGCAGCGCCTCCAGCAGCCGCCCGTGCTGCGGACACCGGGATGGGGTTACGGGGACATTGGGGACACCGGGGATAACGGGGGGACACCGGGGTTTGGGGACATTGGGGGACACAGGGGATTGGGGACACCGCCCGCTCCCGCAGCTCCGCCCGCAGCGCCTCCAGCAGCCGCCCGTGCTGGGGACATCGGGATGGGGACATTGGGGACACCGGGGATAACGGGGATAACGGGGGTAACGGGGGGGTAACGGGGGACTACGGAGATTGGGGACACTGGGGACACTTAGGGACACCGGGGATTGGGGACACTGGGGACATTGGGGACACCGGGGGACTGGGGGACATCACCCGCTCCAGGCGCTCCCGCAGCGCCTCCAGCGGCCGCCCGTGCTGGGGACACCGGGATGGGGACAGCGGGAGGGTACCGGGGTCTTGGGGACACCGGGGACCCGGTTACCGGGGACTGGGGACACTGGGGACCCGGTTAGCGGGGCTTGGGGACACCGGGGATGAGGTTACGGGGAGGTACCGGGAGGTGTCACCCAGCCCCGGTCACCTCCTCCCGCAGCCGCCCGTGCTGGGGACACCGGGACGGGGACACTTGGGGACACCGGGGCTTGGGGACACCGGGATGGCGTCACCAGGCCTGGGGGGACCCTTGGGGACACCGGGAGGACATTGGGGGAACATTGGGGCTTGGGGACACAGAGGGACACCGGGGGACACCGTGGGGACACCGAGGAGACACGAGAGGACATTGGGGGGATACCGGGAGGACACCAGGGGACACCAAAGGACACCGAGGGACACTGGGATGGGGACACTTGTGGACAGCGGGTGACACTGGGACAGCGTCACCGGGGACTGGGGACACCGTGCGGACACCGAGGGACACCGAGGCACACAAGGGGACACCAGGGGACACTGAGGGACACCAAGGGACACCAGGGGACACCAGGGGACACTGAGGGACACTGAGGGACACCAGGGGACACCGAGGGACATTTGGGGACACCAGGGGACATTGGGGGACAGCGGCGTTACCTTCTCGAGCGGCCTGAGCCCGTAGAGCTCCCCCGGCGCCGCCGCGTCCTCGGCCAGGCGCTGCCACGGCACCGAGGGCTTGCGGGGCAGCGACGCCGACGAGCGGAGCTTCCCCCGGGGCTGCGACAACGGGGACAGACCGTTAGCGCCACCACGCCGTGATTAGTGACACCAGGACCCCATTAGTGCCACCACACCCTCATTAGTGACACCAGATCCCCGTTAGTGCCACCAGAGCCCGGTTAATGCCACCAGAACCCTGTTAGTGCCACCAGAACCCAGCCGGTGCCACCACATCTCCATTAGTGCCACCAGATCCCCGTTAGTGCCACCAGAGCCCGGTTAATGCCACCAGACTTCCATTGGTGCCACCAGAACCTCGTTAGTGCCACCGCACCCTGACTGGTGCCACCAGATCCCCATTAGTGCCACCAGAGCCCTGTTAATGTCACCAGAACTCCGTTAGTGCCACCAGAACCTCGTTAGTGCCACCACACCCCCATTAGTGCCACCACACATCCATTAATGCCACCAGACCCCGGTTAATGTCACCAGAATCCAGTTAGTGCCACCACACCATGATTGGTGCCACCACACCCTGATTGGTGCCACCAGATCCCCGTTAGTGCCACCAGAGCCCGGTTAATGTCACCAGAGCCCGGTTAATGTCACCAGCCCGGTTAATGCCACCACACCCTGATTAGCGCCACCACACTCCCATTAGTGCCACCGCACCCCCATTAGTGCCACCACACTCCCGTTAATGCCACCACAACCCCATCAATGCCACCAGACCCTTTTGGACCACCAATGCCACCCCAGACTGTCACCACCTGGCATCTCCACCCCCAGTGCCACCGTGTCCTCTCCGTCACTCACCGGGCCATCCCCGCTGCCCGGTGCCCCGGTGCCACCCCCGGGCGGTGTCACTGTCCCCTCGGCCGCGCTGTCACCCTCGGGCGGGCACCGTGCCCCCTTTCCCTGCGCTGGCACGCTCTGGGTGCGCTGGACGTGGCGGCGGCGCCGCGCCGGGACCGGTTCCGGTGTCCCCGGGGGTGACACCGAGGGTGTCCCCAAGGGCGGCACTGGGGGTGGCACCGGGGGTGGCACCGTCGTCGTCCCCTCGTCGTGGGCGCGGAGGCGGCGGACGCTGGTCAGGGATTGGCTCTTGAGGAGGGGGCTGTGCTTGGGGAGGTCCCGAGGGGGGAGAAATCCCGGCCGGGGGGGGTCCGAGGGACTGGGGACAGACAGACAGACATGGGGACAATGGGGACAATGGGGACAATGGGGACAATGGGGACGATGGGGACAATGGGGGCAATGGGGGCAATGGGGGCAATGGGGGCAATGGGGGCAATGGGGGCAATGGGGGCAAGGGGACAATGAGGACAATGGGAAAATGGGGACGATGGGGACGATGGGGCCAATGGGGACAATGGGGACAATGGGGACAATGGGACAATGGGGACAATGGGGGCAATGGGGACAATGGGGACAATGGGGACGATGAGGGTAATGGGACAATGGGGACAATGGGGACAAGAGGAGAAATCCCGGCCTGGGGCTGGGGGACAGATGGACAGAGGGACATTGGGGACAATGGGGACAATGGGGACAGTGGGGACAGAGGGACAATGGGGCAATGGGGACAATGGGGACAGAGGGACAATGGGGACAATGGGGGCAATGGGGGCAAGGGGACAATGGGACAATGGGGACAATGGGGACAATGGGGACAATGGGACAATGGGGACAATGGGGACAATGGGGACAATGGGGGCAAGGGGATAATGGGGCAATGGGGACAATGGGGACAATGGGGACAATGGGACAATGGGGACAATGGGACAATGGGGACAAGAGGAGAAATCCCGGCCTGGGGGGCTCGGAGGGGCTGGGGACAGATGGACAGATGGACAATGGGGACAAGGGAACACGGGGACAAGGGGATGAGGGGACAGGGGGACAATGGGGATCACAGAGACCCCAAATCCTGGTGGGACCAGAGGAGACCCCAAACCCTGGTGGGATCAGAGAAGATCCCAAAGCCTGGTGGGACCAGAGGGACCCCAAACCTTGGTGACATCTGAGGGACCCCAAACCATGGTGGGACCAGAGGAGATCCCAAATCTTGGAGGGACCAGAGGAGAGCCCAAACCCTGGTGGGACCTGGAGGACCCCAAATCCTGGTGGGATCAGGGGAAGCCCAAATCCTGGTGGGACCAGAGGAGACCCCAAACCCTGGTGAGATCAGAGGAGATCCCAAATCTTGGAGGGACCAAAGGGACTCCTAAACCCTGGTGGGACCTGGAGAACCTCAAACCCTGGTGGGATCATGGAGACCCCAAATCCTGGTGAGACCAGAAGAACTCCAAGTCCTGGTGGGACCAGAGGAACCCCAAACCTTGGTGGGACCAGAGGAGACCCCAAACCCTGGTGGGACCAGACCCATCGCCCAACCCCAGACAGAACCAGAGGAACCCCAAATCCTGACACCAACGTGTCCCCAGATGTCCCCAGACATCCCCAGGTGTCCCCATTGTCCCCAGGTGTCCCTCAGTACCTTCTCCCCGTGGTGGAGCTGAGTTGGACGGACACGGGGACAGGTGTCCCCTCCCTGATGGCCCTGAGGATGGTGGGCAGAGGCTCCAGCTCCTCCTGCGTGGCCTGGAGGACACCACGGGGACATTACTGGGTGGACCAGGAGGTGACAATGGGGACAGAGGGACGGTGGTGGTGGTGGTGGCACCTGGTCGAGGCTGGAGAAGATGTCGCAGAGCAGCAGGTGGAGCGTGGCCAGCTCCAGGGCCAGGTCCACCACGCCGTCGTAGGTGGCCATGTGGGCGCTGGCCTCGGGGGTGGACACGGCGTGAAGGAACTCGGTCATGGTGGCCCAGTGGTGCTCCAGGAAGCCGTTCATGAAGGTCATGTAGGGTTCCTTGTCACCAAACCTGGGGGCAAGGGGTCATTGTCATGGTCAGGGTCACCACCATGGTCATGGTCACTTGGTCCGCCATCATGGTTGGGGTCACCACCATGGTCATGGGTAATTGTCATGGTCAAGGGGTCATCACCACCATAGTCACTTGGTCCATCATCATGGTCTGGAGTCATCGTTATCGCCAAGGAGTCACCACCATGGTTGGGGTCACCACCATGGTCATGGTCAAGGGGTCATTGTCATGGTCATGGGTCACTGACATGACCATGGGTCATCATCATGGTCATGGTCAAGGGGTCACCACCATGGTCATGGTCACATGGAGCACCATAATGGTCTGGAGTCACCATCATGATCAAGGGGTCACCACCGCGGTCATGGTCAAGGGGTCACCATCATGGTCTGGGGTCAACGTCATGGTCATGGGTCATCATTATGGTCAAGGGGTCATCATCATGGTCAAGGGGTCATCAACATGGTCCTGGGTCATCATCATGGTCATGGAGTTACCACCATGGTCTTGGTCAATGGATCACCATCATGGTCATGGTGAAGGGGTCATCACCATGGTCATGGATTATCATCATGGTCATGGGTCACCATCATGGTCATGGTCAAGGGGTCACCACCGTGGTCAAGGGGTCACCAATATGGTCAAGAGATCATCACCATGGTCATGGGTCTTCATCATGGTCAGGGGGTCACCACCATGGTCAGGGGTCATTGTCATGGTCGGGGGTCATCATCATGGTCAGGGGTCATCACCATGGTCTTGGTCAAGGGGTCACCACCACGGTCATGGGTTATTGTCATGGTCAAGGGGTCATCACCATAGTCAAGGGGTCACCTCCATGGCCTGGGGTCACCACCATGGTCATGGTCAAGGAGTCACCACCATGGTCTTGGTCAATGGATGACCATCATGGTCATGGTGAAGGGGTCATCACCATGGTCATGGATTATCATCATGGTCATGGGTCATCATCATGGTCACATGGGCCACCATCATGGTCAGGGGTCACCACCATGGTCATGGTCAAGGGGTCACCACTGTGGTCTTGGTTAAGGCGTCACCATCATGGTCATGGACTATCATCATGGTCATGGGTCACCATCATGGTCATGGTCAAGGGGTCACCACCGTGGTCAAGGGGTCACCAATATGGTCAAGAGGTCACCACCATGGTCATGGGTCATCATCATGGTCACATGGGCCACCATCATGGTTGGGGCCCCAGACCATGGTCATGGTCAAGGGGTCACCACCATGGTCTGGGGTCATTTTCATGGTCAAGGAGTCATCACCATGGTCATGGGTTATTGTCATGGTCAAGGGGTCACCACCATGATCACATGGTTCACCATCATGGTCATGGTCAAGGGGTCACCACCATGGTCATGGGCCACCATCATGGTCAAGGAGTCACCACGATAGTCTGGGGTCATCATCATGGTCATGGGTCACCATCATGGTCATGGGTCACCATCACGGACAAGGGGTCACAGATCACACATGGAACGTCTCCGCGGTCACCTACGTGGTGAAGTTGGCCAGGTTCTGGATGACCTTGGCCACCAGCGTGAGGCTGCGGGCGGTGGCCTCGCCGGGGTACTCCTGGACCAGGCCGAAGAGGCTGGGGGACATGATGGCCGGGCAGAGGAACCTGAGGAACAGCGAGGCCGACACCAGGCGCCGGCCGATGTCCTCCTTGCCGCGCGCCGCGCACGCGTCCCACCACGCCGAGAAGACCTCGGCCAGCTCCGACGGGAAGGACCTGCCCGGGGACGGCACGGTGGGGACAGGGGACACGTCAGGGCCACCACGGGGTGGTGGTGGCATCATGGGGGGGTGGGCATGTCGCCATATCCATCCTGATGTCCATCCTGGTGTCCATCCCCATCCCTGTCCCCAAATTTGTCCCCAGGTCCATCTTGATGTCCATCTCCATCCCAAAATTATCCCTGGGTCCATCCTGGTGTCCATCCCCATCCCGAAGTTGTCCCCAGGTCTATCCTGGTGTCCATCTCCATCCCAAATTTCTCCTTTGGTCCATCCTGGTGACCACCTTCATTCCTGTCATCCATGGTTGTCCCCAAACTTGTCCTCAGGTCTATCTTGATGTCCATCTCCATCCCAAAATTGTCCTTGGGTCCATCTTCATGTCCATCTCCATCCCTTCACCCATGGTTGTCCTCAACCTTGTCCCTGGGTCCATCCTGGTGTCCATCTCCATCCCTGTCCCCAAGCTTGTCCCCAGGTCCATCCTGGTGTCCCTCCCCATCCCAAAATTGTCCTTGGGTCCATCTTCATGTCCGTCTCCATCCCTGTCACCCATGGTTGTCCCCAAGCTTGTCCCCATGTCCATCCTGATGTCCATCCCCGTCTTTGTCCCCAAATTTGTCCCCAGGTCCACCCTGTCACCCACCCCAGGACGGTGACAATCCCCAACCCCTGGTCCCCATCCTGTCTCTGATCCCACCACCATGTCCCAGCTCCTCCAAGGTTCTCCTGGCCCTGGTGCCACCCCTAGTGTCACCCTGATGCCACCCCAGATGTCCCCAGATGTCCCCAGGGTGTCCCCAAGGTGTCCCCACTCACTCGGAGCCGTCGGTGATGCGCCTCAGGGTCTCCTCGCACACCTGCCGCAGGTGCTGCTGGTGCTCCGACAGCTCCGGCCCCGAGATCTTGCTGGGGTCCACCTCGAAGCTCTGCTCGGAGCTGCAGAGCTGGGCCACCACCTCCCCTGGGGACAGGGGACAACCCGTGAGGGGACCGAGGGGTCACCAAGGTGGGGATGGATGGGAAGACCCCAAAACACGTTCTCATGGGTGGTCAGGGGTGTCCCACCATCCATGAGAGGACCAAGGTGTCACCACCACCTCTCCTGGGGACAGGGGACAACCAGTGAGGGGACTGAGGGGGTCATCAAGATGGAGATGGATGGGAAGAACCCAAAACACGTCCCCATGGGTGGTCAGGGATGTTCTACAGCCCATGAGGGGACCAAGAGGTCACCACAGTCCATGAGGTGACCAAGCTGTTACCACCACCTCTCCTGGGGACAGGGGACAACCCGTGAGGGGGCTGAGGGGTCACCAATGTGGGGATGGATGGGAGGAACCCATAACACGTCCCCATGGATGGTCAGGGATGTCCTACAACCCATGAGGTGACCAAGAGGTGACCACCACCTCCCCTGGGGACAGGGGACAACCCGTGAGGGGACCAAGGGGTCACCAGGGTGGGGATGGATGGGAGGAACCCATAACACGTCCCCATGGGTGGTCAGGGATGTCCTACAACCCATGAGGTGACCAAGGAGTCACCACCACTTTTCCATGGATGCTCAAGGATGTCCTACAACCCATGAGGTGACCAAGGAACCCACACCACATCTCCACAGATGGTCAGGGCTGTCCCACCACCCCGATGTCCATCCCACCCGAGGTGTCCCCATGTCCCCTGGGCGTACCCAGCGTGTCCTGCAGGTACTTGGCCCCCACCAGCTTCATGTACTCGTCGATGGCCTTGGTGGCCAAGGTGTTCTCGCGGAAGATCAGCGCCTCGCGGTCGTCCAGGCGGTCGAGCTCGGCCACGCCCAGGTCGGTCAGGAAGGACTGAGGGGAACAGGTGGGGACGGTTTGGTGGCATCTGGGACATCTCAAAGGGTTTGGTGGCATTTGTGACACCTCAAAGGGTTGGTGGCATCTGGGACATCCCAAAGGTTTGGTGGCATCTGGGACATCCCAAAGGCTTTGGTGGCATTTGGGACACCAAAATGAGCAGGGCAACCATGATGGGTCTTCTGGCGTTGTTCTGTGTCTGGTGTGGTGTCCTAACTCATTCAACACAACTCAGTGCAACCCAAACCAACCCAACCCAACCCAAACCATCAAACCCAACTCATCCCAACTCAACCCAACCCAACTCAACCCAACCCAACCCAACTCAACCCAACCCAACCCAACCCAACCCAAACCATCAAACCCAACTCAACCCAACACAACCCAACCCAACCCAACCCATCAAACCCAACCCAAAACATCAAACCCAACTCATCCCAACTCAACCCAACTCAACCCAACCCAACCCAACTCAACCCAACCCATCAAACCCAACCCAAAACATCAAACCCAACTCAACCCAACTCATCCCAACTCAACGCAACCCAACCCAACTCACCCAACACAACTCAATTCAACTCAACACAATGCGTCCATCCCATCCTCACCCAACCCAACTCAGCCAACCCAACCCATCCCAATCCAACTCATCCAACATAACCCAACCAATCCCATCCTCACCCAACTCATCCTATATTCACCCAACCCAACCCATCCCATCCCAAACCAACTCAAACTAAACCCAACCCATCCCATCTTCACCCAACCCAACCTAACTCATCCCATCCTGTCAATCCCAACCAAACCCAACGTATCCAACCCAACCCAACTCATCCAACCCAACTCAACTCAACCCAACTCATCCAACACAACCCAACCCAATCCAACCCAACCCACCCAACCCATTCCATCCTCACCCAACTCATCCCATCTTCCCCCAACCCATCCCAAACCACCTCAACCAACTCATCCCTACCCAACACATCCCATTCATCCTCTCCCAACCCAACTCATCCAACTCAACCCAATCCCTCCCATCCTCACTCAACTCAACCAACCCATCCCATCCCATCTCATCCAACTCAACCCAACCCATCACATCTTCACCCAACCCAACTCATCCCAACCCTACCCATTCCTCACCCAACCCAACCCACCCAACCCAACTCATCCAACCCATTCCATCTTCACCCAACCCAACTCATCCCATCCCATCAATCCCAACCCAACCCAACACAATGCATCCATCTCATCCTAACTCAACCCAACTGAACTCAACCAAACTCTTCCACTCCAACCCAACCCTACCCAACTCCTCCACCCCATCCCACCAATGTCAACCCAACCCAATGCAATGCGTCCATATCATCCCAAGCCAATTTAGCCCAACCCAACCAAACCCAATGCATCCATCTCAACCCAACTCAACCCAACTCATCCCAACCCAACTTAATTCAACCAACCCACCCAAACTCAACCTAACCCAACTCAACTCAACCCAAACCATCCCATCCCAACTCATCCAAGCTAATCCAACTCATCCCATCAATCCCAACACAACCGAACCCAATGCATCCATCTTATCTCATCCCAACTCAACTCAACCCCTCCTTGCTCAACCCAACTCATCCCATCTTCACCCAACCCCACCCAACTCAATCAACCCATCCCATCCTCACCCAACCCAACCCATTCCATCCCATCTTCACCCAACTGAACTCATCCAACCCAGCCCAACCCATCCAACCCAACCCATCCCATCTTCACTCAACTCAACCCAACCCAACTCATCCAACCCAACCCATCTTCACCCAACTGAACTCCTCCAACCCAACCCATCTTCACCCAACCCAAACCCAACCCATCCTCGCTCAACCCAACTCATCCAACCCAACTCATCCAACCCAACCCATCCAACCCAACCCAACCCAACCCAACCCAACCCAACCCAACCCCACCCACCTTGGCCTTGCCGGTGCTCTGCAGCACGCGCACCAAGGCGCCGGCCAGCTCCTCCTTGTGCCGCGTGGCGATGGCCGGCTCCAGCCGCCCGCACAGCTCCCGGTAGTGGAAGGTGACGAACTCGGCCAACTCCTTGTAGCGCACGATGGGCAGCACCCTCACCCGCCGGTAACGCCCGCGCAGCCGCAACGCCGGCGCCGGATCGGCGACGCCGGCGCCGCTCAAGGTGTACCAACGCTCCAGGGGCTGCCACGCCGCCAGCTCGGCCAGCGGGATGGTGACGGAGGCCACCGGGTGCCACCCGGCGGGGTCGTCGTGGTGGTGCTGGTGCTGGTGGCACAAGGTGACGGTGAGGGCGCGCGCCGGCGGCAGCGCGGCCAAGTGGAAGAGCTCGCCCCAGAAGAGTTGGCCGTCGTTGCCGGGCGGCTTGGCCGTGGTGCGGGCGAAGACGGCGCCGTCCAGCTGGAGGTGGCAGCGGAGGCGGCGCCGCGCGGGGAGGTGGCGGCCCTCGAAGAGGGACAGGGACAGCGAGAGGTCCAGGCGCTCGCAGTTGTCCTGGGGGGGACAGGGGGACAATGGGACATGGGGACAGAGGGACAATGGGGACAATGGGGACAAAGGGATGGACAAGGGGACAATGGGATAAGGGGACAGGGGACAAGGGGACAATGGAGAAGGGGACAGGGGGACAATGGGGACAAAGGGACGGACAAGGGGACAAAGGGGACAATGGGGACAGGGGGACAAAGGGACGGACAGCAGGACAAAGGGGACAATGGGGATAATGGGATGGGGGACAGAGGGACAGGGGGACAGAGGGACAGGGGGACAAGGAGACACCGGGGACAAGGGGATAACGGGATAAGGGGACAAGGTGACAAAGGACAAGGGGACAATGGAGAAGGGGACATGGGGACAATGGGGACAAGGGGACAGGGGGACAAGGGGACAAAGGGATGGGGATAAGGGGACAAAGGGACAATGGAGACAAAGGGAGAAAGGGGATGGACAAGGGGGCAAAGGGACAATGGGGACAAGGGGAGAAGGGACAAGGGGACAAGGGGACAATGGAGAAGGGGACAAGGAGACAAGGAGATGGACAAGGGGACAAGGGACAATGTGGATAAGGGGAGAAGGGACAGGGGGACAAAGGGGACAAGCGGGATGTGGGTGGCGGTCGTGGGGACAAGGGGACAAGAGACAAATGGACAATGGGGATACGGGGACAAGGGGACAAAGGGACAAAGGGACAATGGGACAATGGGGATAATGGGACAAGGGATAAGGGGACAAAGGGACAAGGGGGCAATGGGGATGTGAGTAGGGGTCATGGGGACAACGGGACAAAGGGGATGGACAAGGGGACAATGGGAGTCCCCAAGGTGTCCCTGAGGTGCCCCCAAGTGTCCCCAAGGTGTCCCCAAAGTGTCCCCGAGGTGTCCCCAGGTGTTCCCAAGTGTCCCCAAGGTGTCCCCAAGGCGTCCCCAGGTGCCCCCAAGGCGTCCCCAGATGTCCCCACAGTATCCCCCAGGTGTCCCCAGGGTGTCCCCCGGGTGTCCCCAAGATGTCCCCAGGTGTCCCCAGGTGTGTCCCCACCTTGTTGGGCTGCGCCGTCCGCCGCAGCTCCTCGATCCAGCGGTCGCGCTCGGCCAGGGAGGAGCAGCCGAAGGAGCGGCTGCCGGCGGGGGTGATCACCTGGGGACAGAGGGGACAATGAGGGGACAGGGAGGGGACAGGGAGGGTGACAGGACACTGAGGGGACATTGAGGGTGATGGGGACATTGAGGGTGATAGGGACATCGAGGGGGAAAAGGACAAGGAGGGTGACGGGGACATTGAGGGGACACTGAGGGTGACAGGACACTGAGGGGACATTGAGGGTGACAGGGACACTGAGGGGACATTGAGGGTGACAGGGACAATGAGGCGACCCTTTTTGGGGTCAGGGTCCCCATTTTTGGGGTCAGGGTCCCCATTTTTGGGCTCAGAGTCCCCGTTTTTGGGGACAGGATCCCCATTTTTGGGATTTGTGTCCCCATTTTTGGGGTTTAGGAGCCCCTTTTTGGGATTTAGGAGGCCCTTTTGGGGGTTTGTGTCCCCATTTTTGGGCTCAGAATCCCCATTTTTGGGTTCAGGGTCCCCATTTTTGGGTTCAGGGTCCCCACTTTTGGGGTCAGGGTCCCCACTTTTGGGGTTTGTGTCCCCATTTTCGGGGTTTGTGTCCCCATTTTCGGGGTTTGTGTCGCCATTTTTGGGGTTCAGGAGCCCCCCGGCCGTACCTGGAAGCAGAACCTCTCTCCCACCAGGCTGCCGTGCACGGGCCGGACGATGACGTTGTCACCCGTGAGGTCCAGCTCGGGCGGTGGCACCAGGGACTCGCGGGATCCGCTGCGGCTGGGGACCCTGGGGGGACACCAATGTCACCGGGGGCACCAAAAATGGGGACAGAAATGTCACCAGGACCCCGAAAACGGGGACATCAATGTCACCAGGAGCCCAAAAATGGGACAGAAATGTCACCAGGGGCACCAAAAATGGGGACAGAAATGTCACCAGGACACCAAAAAGGGACCCTGGGGGGACACCAATGTCACCAGGGGCACCAAAAATGGGGACAGAAATGTCACCAGGACACCAAAAATGGGGACAGAAATGTCACCAGGACCCAGAAAAGGGACCCTGAGGGGACACCAATGTCACCAGGGGCACCAAAAATGGGGACAGAAATGTCACCAGGAGCCCAAAAATGGGACACCAATGTCACCAGGACACCGAAATGGGGACATCAGTGTCACCAGGAGCCCAAAAATGGGGACAGAAATGTCACCAGGAACCCCCAAAAAGGGACCCTGAGGGGACAGAAATGTCACCAGGACACAAAATAGGGACAGAAACGTCACCAGGACACCAAAAACAGGACCCTGAGGGGACACCAATGTCACCAGGACACCAAAAACGGGGACATCAGTGTCACCAGGAGCCCAAAAATGGGGACAGAAATGTCACCAGGAACCCCCAAAAAGGGACCCTGAGGGGACAGAAATGTCACCAGGACACAGAAATGGGGACAGAAATGTCAGCAGATCCCTAAAATGGGACCCTGAGGGGACACAAATGTCACCAGGACCCTCAAAAGGGACCCTGAGGTGACACTGAGGGGACACAAATGTCACCAGGACCCCAAAAATGGGGACACAAATGTCACCGGGACACCAAAATGGGGACAGCGGTGTCACCAGGCTGGGAGCGTCCCCTACCTGTCACCGTCGGGCGCTGCCACCACCCCGTGGTCACCCTTGGTGGCACCGCGGCTTCTCCTGTCCCTGAGGAGCCTCTTCCACAGCAGCCCCTGGGGACAGCGAGGGGACAGGTGACAATGACAGGGACAGGGGACAATGACAGGGACAGGGACAGGTGACAATGACAGCGACAGGGGACAATGATGGGGGACAATGACAGGGACAGGGGACAGGGGACAATGACGGGGGACAGGGGACAATGACAGGGACAGGGACAGGGGACAATGACAGCGACAGGGGACAATGATGGGGGACAATGACAGGGACAGGGGACAGGGGACAATGACGGGGGACAGGGGACAATGACAGGGACAGGGACAGGTGACAATGACAGCGACAGGGGACAATGATGGGGGACAATGACAGGGACAGGTGACAATGACAGGGACAGGGACAGGGGACAATGACGGGGGACAATGACAGGGACAGGGGACAATGATGGGGGAACAGGGACAGGGGATGGGGACAGCGATGGGGACAGGCGACAATGACAGGGACAGGGATGGGACAGGGACAGGTGACAATGACAATGACAATGACAATGACAGTGACAAGGACAGTGACAGTGACAATGACAGTGACAGGTGACAAGGACAGTGACAGTGACAATGACAGTGACAGTGACAATGACAATGACAGATGACAAGGACAGTGACAGTGACAATGACAGTGACAGGTGACAAGGACAGTGACAGTGACAATAACAATGACAGTGACAGGTGACAAGGACAGTGACAGTGACAATGACAGTGACAGGTGACAGTGACAGTGACAAGGACAGTGACAGTGACAGTGACCTTGACGTTGCTGAGCTGGGAGCTCGGGGGGGGCTCAGCCCGGGGTCCCCTCTCGTCCGGGTCTGGGAGGGGAAACCAGTATGGACCAGTATAGACCAGTATAAACCAGTATAGACCAGTACAAACCAGTATAGACCAGTATAAACCAGTAACACCCAGTGCTCCCGGTATAAACCAGTACAAACCAGCATAAACCAGTATAGACCAGTATAAACCAGTACAAACCAGTATAAACCAGTATAGACCAGTATAGACCAGTATAAACCAGTAACCCCCAGTAACCCCCAGTGTTCCCAGTATAAACCAGTATAAATCAGTATAAACCAGTAACCTGCCCAGTGCTCCCAGTAACTCCCAGTAACCCCCAGTCCCTCCCAGAAGCTCCCAGTTCCCTCCCAGTGCTCCCAGTATAAACCAGTATAACTCGATCCCCTCCCAGTCCCTCCCAGTTTGTCCCAATCCCCTCCCAGTCCCTCCCAGTATAACCCAGTGCCCTCCCAGGCCCTCCCAGTTTGTCCCAGTCCCTCCCAGTATGTCCCAGTATCCCCCAGTAACCCCTCCAGTCCCTCCCAGTCCCTCCCAGTCCCTCCCAGTATAAACCAGTATAACTCGATCCCCTCCCACTCCCTTCCAGTCCCTCCCAGTATAAACCAGTATAACCCAATTCCCTCCCAGTTTGTCCCACTCCTCTCCCAGTGCCCCCCAGTCCCCTCCCAGTACAAACCAGTATAACCCAGTTCCCTCCCAGTATAACCCAGTCCCCTCCCAGTACAAACCAGTACAAACCAGTATAACCCAGTTCCCTCCCAGTATAACCCAGTCCCCTCCCAGTAAAACCAGTACAAACCAGTATAACCCAGTATAACCCAACCAGTATAACCCAGTATAACCCAGTCCCCTCCCAGTACAAACCAGTACAAACCAGTACAAACCAGTATAACCCAGTTCCCTCCCAGTATAACCCAGTATAACCCAGTATAACCCAGTTCCCTCCCAGTATAACCCAGTCCCCTCCCAGTAAAACCAGTACAAACCAGTATAACCCAGTATAACCCAACCAGTATAACCCAGTATAACCCAGTCCCCTCCCAGTACAAACCAGTAAAACCAGTACAAACCAGTATAACCCAGTTCCCTCCCAGTAAAACCAGTATAACCCAGTATAACCCAGTATAACCCAGTTCCCTCCCAGTAAAACCAGTAAAAACCAGTATAACCCAGTTCCCTCCCAGTATAACCCAGTATAACCCAGTATAACCCAGTATAACCCAGTATAACCCAGTTCCCTCCCAGTATAACCCAGTCCCCTCCCAGTAAAACCAGTACAAACCAGTATAACCCAGTATAACCCAACCAGTATAACCCAGTATAACCCAGTCCCCTCCCAGTAAAACCAGTACAAACCAGTATAACCCAGTATAACCCAACCAGTAAAACCAGTATAACCCAGTATAACCCAGTATAACCCAGTCCCCTCCCAGTAAAACCAGTACAAACCAGTATAACCCAGTTCCCTCCCAGTATAACCCAGTATAACCCAGTATAACCCAGTATAACCCAGTATAACCCAGTTCCCTCCCAGTATAACCCAGTCCCCTCCCAGTAAAACCAGTACAAACCAGTATAACCCAGTATAACCCAACCAGTATAACCCAGTATAACCCAGTCCCCTCCCAGTAAAACCAGTATAACCCAACCAGTATAACCCAGTATAACCCAACCAGTATAACCCAGTATAACCCAGTTCCCTCCCAGTATAACCCAGTCCCCTCCCAGTAAAACCAGTACAAACCAGTATAACCCAGTATAACCCAGTCCCCTCCCAGTGCCCCCATGTCCTCACCAGGGTCCCTCCTGCCCGCGTTGGTGCCATCGGAGGCGGCGCTGCCGGCGCGGGTCCTGCTGCGCCAGGGACCCTGGGGACACCCCGGGGACACTGAGACGTCACCACGGTGTCACCACGAGGTGCCACCACCCCCAGGGGACACCACCCAGGAGGTGCCACCACTCCAGGGGACACCAAGGGGACACCATGAGATGCCACCAACATGTCACCATGAGGTGCCACCACCCCCAGGGGACACCGCGAGGGGACACCACCCCAGGGGACACCAAGGGGACACCATGAGGTGCCACCACCATGGGGACACCATGAGGTGCCACCAAGGGGACACCATAAAGTGCCACCCAGGGGGCACCACGAGGTGCCACCACACCCAGGGGACACCCAGGTGTCACCAGGAGGTGCCACCAAGGGGACACCATGAGATGCCACCACCCATGAGGTGCCACCACCCCCAAGGGACACTGAGATGCCACCAAGGTGTCACCAGGAGGTGCCACCACCCAGGGGACACCATGGGGACACCATGGGGTCCCACCACAAGGTGCCACCACCACCCAGGGGACACTGAGACGCCACCCAAGGGACACCAGGAGGTGACACCAAGGGGACATTGAGGTGGCACCAAGGGGACACTGCGGGGTCAGGAGGTGCCACCAAGGGGACACCACAAGGTGCCACCAAGGGGACACCATGAAGTGTCACCACACCCAGGGGACACCCAGGGGACGCCATGAGGTGCCACCACCCCCAAGGGACACCAACGTGTCACCACGAGGTGCCACCACCAAGGGGACACCGTGAGGCGCCACCAAGGGGACACTGAGGTGCCACCACCCAGGTGCCACCACGAGGTGCCACCACCGGCCGGTGTCACCCCGGTGTCCCCTCTCACCTGCTCGTTGTCCCTGGGCAGTGGCACCAGGTGCCCGTCCAGCAGCGAGAACTGGGACACGTCCCACACCTGGGTGGCGTCGGGTGGCACCGGGGCCACCAACGGTGGTGGTGATGTCCCCAAGGACGCCGGGGATGTCCCCAAGGGCGGCGCTGAGGGGACACAACGGCGCGGGGGTGACCACGGTGGCATTGTCACCCGTGGAGGGGACAGGAGGCACCAAAAGCCCTCCCCGATGTCCCCCAATGTCCCCAAGTGTCCCCCTACATCCCGTCATGTCCCCTCCTGTCCCCTGATGTCCCCAAGTGTCCCCTGCTGTCCCTTCATGTCCCCTCCTGTCCCCTGATGTCCCTGCTGTCCCCTGGTGTCCCCCTTGTGTCCCCAAGTGTCCCCACTGTCCCCTGGTGTCCCCACATCCTCCACATCCCCTCCTGTCCCCCTCGTGTCCCCCACTGTCCCCCGATGTCCCCAAGTGTCCCCTCATGCCCCTTGTGTCCCCACTGTCCCCTCGTGTGCCCTCCTGTCCCTGATGTCCCCAAGTGTCCCCCTCCTGTCCTCTCATGTCCCCTCCTGTCCCCGCTGTCCCCTGGTGTCTCCTCAGGTCCCCTGATATCCCCAAGTGTCCCCACTGTCCCCCAATGTCCCCAAGTGTCCCCTCCTGTCCCCCACTGTCCCCAAGCGTCCCCTGCTGTCCCCTCCTGTCCCTTCCATCCCCATCGTGTCCCCCCACTGTCCCCACATCCCCTCCTGGTCCCCAATGTCCCCAAGTGTCCCCACATCCCCTCGTGTCCCCTACTGTCCCCTCGTGTCCCCCGCTGTCCCCCAATGTCCCCAAGTGTCCCCTCCTGCTCCTGATGTCCCCCGATGTCCCCTCGTGTCCCCTCAGGTCCCCTGATGTCCCCTCCTGTCCCCTTGTGTCCCCCCAACCCCACTGTCCCCAAGCGTCCCCTGCTGTCCCCTCCTGTCCCGTCCATCCCCATCGTGTCCCCCTCCTGTCCCCACATCCCCTGATGTCCCCACATCCCTTCCTGTCCCCTTTGTCCCCCTGGTGTCCCCAAGCGTCCCCAAGCGTCCCCCTCACCTTTGCCCGCCTTGCACGGCGCCGAAATCGCCCTCCTGAACAGCGACCGCCGCGCGCTGGCCTTGGCGACACCTCTGTCCCCTCCCCCTTTGTCGCCTCCTTTGTCACCTCCCCCTCTGTCGCCCCCTCTGTCGCCGCTGCTGTCGCCGACAGTGTCGGGGTGGCTGTGGGAGCGCCGCCAGCCCTGCAGCCGCGCCCAGCGCCGGCTCCCCGGGGACCCCCCGAGTTTTTGGGGGAAAACCCCGAATTTTTGGGGGTCCCCGCCCGGCCCGGGGGTCGCCGTGCGCCACTTGTAGGATTTCAATAGGGCGGGGGGCGACAGCGGCACCGAGGGGGCGTCCGGGTCCATCTGTGGGGCGGGAAAAAGGGGGGAAAAAAGGGGATTTTGGGGTTTGTGAGGTGGTTTTGGGGTTGGGGGAACAGGAGGAGCAATTTTGGGGTTGGGGGGGAGTCGATTTTGGGGGGTTTATGGGGTGGATTTGGGGTTTGTGGGGTTTAGGGGGGAATTTTGGGGGGTTCATGGGGTGGATTTTGGGGTTTGTGGGAGCAAATTTGGGGTTTGGGGGAACAATTTTGGGGTTGGGGGAGTCAGTTTTGGGGGGTTTAGGGGTTGGGTTTGGGGGTTTTGGGGTTTAGGGGAAGAACTTTGGGGGGTTTAAGGGGTGGGTTTGGGGTTTTGGGGGTCAATTTTGGGGGGTTTCTATGGGGTGGTTCTGGGGGTTGTGGGGTTGGGGAGACAATTTTGGGGTTGGAGGAGCTGAATTTGGGGGTTAAATTTGGGGGTTTTGGGGTGGGGGGAGTCAATTTTGGGGGGTGGGTTTGGGGTTGGGGAGCAAATTTGGGGGTTGGATTTGGGATTTGGGGTTTGGGGTTGGGGGAGTCAATTTTAGGGGGTGGGTTTGGGGCTTGAGGGGTGGGGGGAGCTGAATTTGGGGGGTCCAAGGGGGCAGGAGAGAGTGGGACGGACGGACACGGTGACAGAGTGACAGGGGGGACAGGGGGACATGGGACAGGGGACAGAGGGACACGGGACACAGTGACAGGGGGACAGGGGGGACAGGGGGGACAGGGGGACAGGGGACAGGGGGACAGGGGGACAGGGGACAGGGGGACACGGGACACAGTGACAGGGGGACAGGGGGGACAGGGGGACAGGGGACAGGGGGGACAGGGGGACAGGGGACAGGGGGGACAGGGGGACACAGTGACAGGGGGACAGGGGGGACAGGGGGACATGGGACAGGGGACAGGGGGGACAGGGGGACAGGGGACAGGGGGACAGGGGGACACAGTGACAGGGGGACAGGGGGGACAGGGGGACATGGGACAGGGGACAGAGGGACACGGGACACAGTGACAGGGGGACAGGGGACAGGGGGACAGGGGGACACAGTGACAGGGGGACACGGGACACAGTGACAGGGGGACAGGGGGGACAGGGGGGACAGGGGGACAGGGGACAGGGGACAGGGGGACAGGGGACAGGGGGACAGGGGGACAGGGGACAGGGGGACAGGGGGACAGGGGGACAGGGGGACATGGGGGACAGGGGACAGGGGGACAGGGGACAGAGCCACAGGGGGACAGGGGGGACAGGGGGACAGGGGACAGGGGGACAGGGGGGACAGGGGGACAGGGGACACAGCGACAGGAGACAGGGGGACAGGGGGGACAGGAGGATAAGGGAGAGCGGGACAGAGGGACGGGAGGACAGAGGGACAGGGGAATAGGGTGACACAGTGACAGAGGGACAGACAGACACGGTGACAGAATGACAGAGTGACAGGGTGACAGGGGGAAATGGTGACAGGGGAAATGGCGACAGGAGGACAGGGGGACAGAGGGACAGGGTGAAATGGGGACAGACGGACACGGTGACAGAGTGACGGAGGGACAGACGGACACGGCGACAGAGTGACAGAGGGGCAGAGGGTGACAGAGGGACAGGGGAGGGACGGGGGGACAGAGGGACAGGGGGATGGGGGGAAACGGTGACAGGGGGACAGAGTGACAAAGTGACACAGCGACAGAGGGACAGACAGACGCACGGACAGACTGACGGACGCACCGACAGCCGCCCCATCGCCACCCCCGGGCCCCGGGCGCGGGCGGCGGCACCGGCGCCGCTTCCGTCGCGCCCCAAAACCGCGCTCCCCTCCCCCGCCTTTCTCCCTTTTGTCACCCCCCCTTTGTCACCTCCCCCTTGGTGGCACTTCAGGACCCCCCCACACCTGTCAGTGCCACCCCCCAGGTGCCACCTGCGCCCTTTTTTTGGCTTTTTTTGGGGGTTTTTTTTGGCTTTTTTTTGGTGTCACCGCCGCCCCCCAAACTGTCACCTCAATGAGGGGGGGGGTGGCACCATCCCCCCAATTTTGTCACCCCCCTTTTTCACCTCCCCCTTGGTGGCACTTTAGGACCCCCCCCACCTGTCAGTGCCACCCCCCAGGTGCCACCTGCGCCCTTTTTTTGGCTTTTTTTTGGGGTTTTTTTTGTGTCACCGCCAAAATTGTCACCTCAAGGGGGGGGTGGCGGTGGCCACATCCTCCCGCGACAGTGGGGGAGGGGATGGGGGGGTGTGACAAAAATTTTGGGGTCCCCCCCCACCCCCCAACCCCGACCCCCCCTTTAGCATCCCCTGAGGGGATTTGGGGACAATTTTGGAGATTTTTTGGGGGGAGAATTTTGGTTTTTTTGGGGTTTTTGGTGTCCTCCCCCCCCCCCCGCCCCGAGGTACCTCCGGGGCTGCCGCGGCCGCGCTCGGTTCCTGTGGCGGCTTCCCCACATGTGACCGAGCGGGGCACACCCCCGGAGCCTTCCTCCCGCTCCTCCTCCTCCCCTCGGAGCCTTCCTCCTCCTCCTCCTCCTCCTCGGGGAGGGGATGGCGCTGGGGACACCGGGGGGACACCACAGGTGAGGGGACACCTGAGCCCCGGTTCCTTCCCCACATGTGACCGAGCGGGGCACACCCCCGGAGCCTTCCTCCCGCTCCTCCTCCTCGGAGCCTTCCTCCTCCTCCTCCTCCTCTTCGGGGAGGGGATGGCGCTGGGGACACCGGGGGGACACCACAGGTGAGGGGACACCGAGGGACAGGTTCCTTCCCCGTGTGACCGAGCAGGAGTTTGGGTCACACCCTCAGAGCCTTCCTCCTCCTCCTCCTCCTCCTCCTCCTCCTCCTCCTCCTCCTCCTCAGGGAGGGGATGGCGCTGGGGACACGCAGGTGACACCGGGGGGACACCACAGGTGAGGGGACACCAAGGGACAGGTAAGGTCCCCGTGTGACCAGGCAGGAGTTTGGGTCACACCTTCAGAGCCTTCCTCCTCCTCCTCCTCCTCCTCCTCCTCCTCTCGGAGCCTTCCTCCTCCTCCTCCTCCTCCTCAGGGACACGCAGGTGACACCGGGGGGACACCACAGGTGAGGGGACACCTGAGCCCCGGTTCCTTCCCCGTGTGACCGAGCAGGAGTTTGGGTCACACCCTCAGAGCCTTCCTCCTCCTCCTCCTCCTCCTCCTCCTCCTCCTCCTCCTCGCTGGGGACACGCCGGTGACACCAAGGGGACACCGTGGGTCGCCCCTCAAAGGGGTGGTGGTGGCTCCTGGAGTCCTCCCCTGATGTGACATTTGGGGGGTCCCAGGGTGGGACATCGAGGCCATGGAGGTGACACCAGGAGTGTGGGGACACCAAGGGGCAGGTGGCCATGGAGGTGCCACCATGTCCTCATCCATGGGCCAATGTCCCTCATGTCCATGTCCCACCATGGCCATGTCCCACCATGTCCCCATCCATGTCCATGTCCCACCATGTCCCCATCCACATCCATGTCCCCATCCATGTCCACATCCCACCAGGTCCCCAACCATGCCCATGTCCCACCATGTCCCACCATGTCCCACCATGTCCATGTCCCACCATGTCTCCATCCATGTCCATATCCCCTCTATGTCCCCATCCATGTCCATGTCCCACCATGGCCCCATCCATGTCCCACCATGTCCATGTCCCACCATGGCCCCATCCACGTCGATGTCCCACCATGGCCCCATCCATGTCCATGTCCCACCAGGTCCCACCATGGCCATGTCCCACCATGTCCCCATCTATGTTCATGTCCCACCACATCCCCATCCATTTCCCCATCCCTGTCCATGTCCCACCAGGTCCCACCATGTCCTACCATGTCCATGTCCCCAATGATGTCCATGTCCCACCATGTCCCCATCCCCGTCCATCTCCCACCACGTCCATGTCCCACCATGTCCCAACCATGCCCATGTCCCCATCCATGTCCACGTCCCACCATGTCCCACCATGTCCCCATCTATGTCCCTGTCCATGTCCCCATCCATGACCACGTCCCACCATGTCCATGTCCCACCATGTCTCCATCCATGTCCATGTCCCACCATGTCTCCATCCACGTCCACGTCCCACCATGTCCCACAACGTCCTCATCCATGACCACGTCCCACCACATCCCCATCCATGTCCCACCACATCCCCATCCATGTCCCACCATGTCCATGTCCCACCATGTCCCCACCCACGCCTCACATCAACATTTTTATTTCTACCCCAATTTCGGGGTTTTCAAAGGGATGAACAGAAACCTTCTCATTCCAAACCAAAACCAAAATGTCCAACCACGTGTCCCTCAGCATCCACGTCCTTGGATGGGTCAGAAGAACCTTTTTTGGAGGTTCCTCCAGGTTCCCACCTTCTCACTTTTGAAGGTTTCCACCCCAGGGTCTCCAAAATCGTGGATTTTGCCCCAATCTCACTCCATTTTGCTGTGGAAAATGCCCGTGGACCAGAAACGATGGATTGATGGTGGAGAAGACCTCTGAGGATATCTAGTGTGGGTTAAGACCACCAAAAAAGGGAAAAAACGAGATTTTTGTGGGTTAGAAGGTGACAAATCCAGGAGGAGGTGGAACCTTCAGCCAGGTGTCCTCCAAACATGGATCAAGGGGGTTCTTCCCACCTGGGCTCACTGGGGACCATCCAGAGCAGATCCTCCCATGGTGGAGAAGACATCCAAACCTATCTAGTGTGGTTTAAAACCACCAAAAAAAGGGAAAAAATGAGATTTCTGTGGGGTCAGAAGGTGACACATCCAGGAGGATGTGGAACCTTCACCCAGGTGTCCTCCAAACAGGGATCAAGGGGGTTCTGCCCACCTGGACTCACTGGGGACCATCCAGAGCAGATCCTCCCATGGGGACTGATGGTGGAGAAGTCCTCCAAACCTATCTAGTGTTGCTGAAGACCACAAAAAAATTGAAAAAAATGACATTTTTGTGGGGTCAGAAGGTGACACATCCAGGAGGAGGTGGAACCTTCACCCAGGTGTCCTCCAAACACAAATCAAGGTGGCTCTGCCCACCTGGTCAGCAGGAGGTGGAACCTTCAGCCAGGTGTCCTCCAAACAGGGATCAAGGTGGTTCTTCCCACCTGGGCTCGCTCAGGGCCACCCAGACCAGATCCTCCCACGTGGGACGGAGCTGGAGAACCCCACCGAGCTCCTCCAGCACCCGGGCCACCAACACCGCTGCCCTCAGTGGAACTTCCACCGGTGCCTGGCCAGCCGAGAACTGGCCGAGAACTTCTTCCCACACTGGTGGCACTCACGGGGACCATCCCCAGCGTGGATCAGCCGGTGCTTGGCCAGGTGGGCGTTGAGCTTGAAGCCCCTGCCGCAGTCGGGACAGCGGAAAGGTTTCTCCCCCTGGTGCGCGTCCTGGTGTCTCCTGAGGCTGGCGCTCACCCTGAACCTCCTCCCGCACAGCGAACACTCGAAGGGCTTCACGTGGGTCTTCTGGTGGGACCTCAAGCGGGAGCCGGTGGTGAAGCTCTTGCCGCAGTGTCCACACTCGTAGGGCCTCTGCCCGGTGTGGCTCCTCTGGTGGTGGGCCAGGCCGAGGCGGGTGGCGAAGCTCTTGCCGCACTCCTCGCACTCGTGGGGACGCTCCCCCGTGTGGCTCTTCTGGTGGGCCACCAGGTCGGAGTGGAGCATGAAGGTTCTCCCGCACTGGGCGCACAGGTAGGGCCTCTCGCCGGTGTGGACGCGCCGGTGGGCGGTGAGGGTGCAGTTCTTCCTGAAGCCCTTGCCGCAGTCGGGGCACCTGAAGGGCTTCTCGTCCGTGTGAGAGCGCCGGTGGACGAGGAGGCGGTAGCTGGTCCTGAAGGCCTTCCTGCAGACGTCACACGCGTAGGGCCTCTCGTCGGTGTGGACCCTCTGGTGGACCACCAGCAGGGAACTCGTGGGGAAGCCCCTCTGGCACTCCCCACACTTGTAGGGCATCTCCCCGCTGTGGAACCTCTGGTGGACGATCAGGTAGGAGCCGGTGCTGAAGCTCTTCCCGCAGAGCCCGCACTTGAAGGGCCTCTCCCCAGTGTGGCTCCTCTGGTGGACCACCAGGTGGGAGCTCCTGCTGAAGCTCTGCCCGCACCTCCCGCACTCGTAGGGTTTCTCCCCCGTGTGGCACCTCAGGTGGACCACCAGGTGGGAGCTCCTGCCGAAGTTCTTCCCGCACTGGGGACACTCGTAAGGACGTTCCCCCGTGTGCCGCCTGCAGTGGACGGTCAGAACCGCGCTGGACCTGAAGCCCTTCCCGCAGTGCCCACACCTGTAGGGACGTTCTCCGGTGTGGATCCTGCGGTGGACATTGAGGGAGGAGATCTCCCTGAAGCCCTTCCCACACTGCCCACACTCGAAGGGACGTTCTCCAGTGTGGATCCTGTGGTGGACAACCAGCTGGCCGATTGTCCTGAAGCTCTTCCCGCACTGGGGACACTCGTAGGGTCTCTCATCGGTGTGGATGCGCCGGTGGGTGAGCAGGTTGGACTTCTGGCTGAAGCTCTTTCCACAATCGGGGCAGCTGAAGGGTTTCTCATCTGTGTGAATCCTCTGGTGGACAAGGAGGGTGGAGCTGGTCAGGAACCTCTTCTTGCACTGACCACACTTGTAGGGTTTCACCCCAGTGTGCATCCTCTGGTGGACAACAAGGTAGGAGCTGGAGCTGAACCTCTTCCCACACTCGGAGCACTTGTGGGGCTTCTCCTCCCCGCCCTGGAGCTGCTCATGGAGCCCCAGCTCGGATCTCTGAGCCCCTCCATGGCCCAGGCTGGCTCTTGCCCCCTCGGATCCCCGCGCTCTGCCTTTGCAGCCCCTCCTGCTCAGGGATCTCCGCGGCTTCTCCTCCCCGTTGGCTTCTCCCTGCCGAGCCGTGGAGCCGCTCCAAACGGCCTCTGCCACCAGCTCCTCGCTGCTCTCCATGCTCAGCTCCTGCTCGGGGGGAGCAAGGACAAGGACACGATGGGATTTGCCCCCGTGGCGACAAGGACACGATGGGATTTGCCCCCATGGGGACAAGGACACGATGGAATTTGCCCCCGTGGGGACAAGGACACGATGGGATTTGCCTCCCCTGCCACACAAAAAACCCTCCCGGAGACTCCCGCGATCGGGTCGGGCCCAGCTCCCCCTCTCCGCTCACCTGCGGGCTCCGGGGGGCGATGCCGGCGGGGCCGGGGCAGCTGCGGCCGGAGCGCGGGAACCGCGTGGTGTTGAGGCGCCTCTTCGTCCCGGTGTTCCTGTTCCGTTGTCCCTCCTCGTCCTTTGTCCCTCCTCCTCCTCCTCCCCCTCCTCTTCCTCCTCCTCCTTCTCCCCCTCCTCTTCCTCCCGCTCCTCCTCCGCTCCGAGTCCCGCCCGGGCAGCGCCGGCACCAAAATACAGGCGGGGTGAGGGCGTGGTTATGCAAATCCCAGAGCGATCGCGCGCTGGGATTGGTGGGAGGGAGGAGCGCGGGATTTGCTCGGTGACGTCATGGCGAGGGCGGGAACTGGAGCGTCCGCAGAGAGCGGAGCGCGAATGGGGACCGGGAATGGAGGCAGGGAATGGGGACCCAGACTGGGGATAAGAAGCCGGAATGGTAATGGGGACAGGGAATGGGGACCGTGGGGTTCCCAAAGTCCTAAGGAAACCCCAAATCAGTCCCAGGAACCCTCAACTCCCTCTGGCCCAGCATCCCCCTCATTCCCTGGAAGATCCCCCCATGTCCACATCCTAATCTTTGTTAGCTGTCTTTATTATTAACCTCGGATTTAAAAATGTGTATAAAAATAACAAAGAGAGAAAAAAAGAATATCCAGGCCACGAGGAGCCAGGTGGATGTGGAGCCCCCAGCCAGGTGTTCTTAAAGCAGGATTAAAGGGGGCTCTGCCCGCCTGGGCTCACTGAGGAGCATCCAGAGCAGATCCTCCCGTGTGAGATGGAGCTGGAGAAGGCCACAGAGCTCTGCCCACCCAGGGCTGCCCTCAGTGCTGGCTCTTCTGGTGTCTTCTCAAGGTAGTGATTTTAGAGAAGCTCTGCCCACACTGGGGACACTTGTGGGGTCTCTCCCCGGTGTGGATCCTCCTGTGTCTGACCAGAGCTGAGTTCTGCTTGTATCCCACCCCACAATCGGGACAGCGGAAGGGCCTCTCGTCCGTGTGGATGCGCTGGTGCTTGAGGAGATGAGACGAGGTGTAAAAGCCCTTCTGGCACTGATCACACTCGTAGGGCCTCTCCCCGGTCTGGCTTCTGAGGTGGACAGTCAGATGGGAGCTCTGGGTGAAACTCTTCCCACACTGGGGACACTCATAGGGCCTCTCACCAGCGTGGCTCCTCAGGTGGACAGTCAGATGGGAGCTCTGGGTGAAGCCCTTCCCACACTGGGGACACTCGTGTGGTCTCTCCCCGGTGTGGATGCGCCGGTGGACGACGAGAGCAGAGTTGTGCCTGAAGCTCTGCCCGCACTCACGGCAGTGGAATGGCCTCTCCCCGGTGTGGATGAGCTGGTGACTGAGGAGATGGGAGCTGCTCAGGAACCTCTTCTGGCATTGATCACACTTGTAGGGCCCCTCCCCGGTGTGGATCTGCTGGTGCTTGTGGAGATCAGAGCTGGTCAGGAACCTCTTCTGGCACTGATCACACTCATTTGGTCTCTCCCCGATGTGAATACGCCGGTGGGTGGTGAGAGTGGAATTTACCCTGAATCCCTTCCCACAATCAGGACAGCAGAACGGCCGCTCCTCGGTGTGAATGCGCTGGTGACCACGAAGATTGGAGCTGCTCAAGAACCTCTTCTTGCACACATCACACTCGTAGGGTCGTTCCCCCGTGTGCCTCCTCAGGTGGACAGTCAGTTTGGATCTACACGTGAAGCTCCTCCCACACTCCGAGCATTTGTGGGGCTTCTCCTCCCCACCCTGGAGCTGCTCATGGACCCCCAACTCTGAGCTCTGACCCTGGTCCAGGGTGGGTTTTTCCCCCTCAGATCCCGTGTGGATTCTCTGGTGCACAATCAGGCAGGATCTCCTCTTGAAGCTCTTCCCACACTCGGAGCACTTGTGGGCCTTCTCCTGCCCACCCTGCAGCTGCTCATGGAGCCCCAGCTCGGATCTCTGAGCCCCTCCATGGCCCAGGCTGGCTCTTGCCCCCTCGGATCCCCGCGCTCTGCCTTTGCAGCCCCTCCTGCTCAGGGATCTCCGCGGCTTCTCCTCCCCGTTGGCTTCTCCCTGCCGAGCCGTGGAGCCGCTCCAAACGGCCTCTGCCACCAGCTCCTCGCTGCTCTCCATGCTCAGCTCCTGCTCGGGGGGAGCAAGGACAAGGACACGATGGGATTTGCCCCCATGGGGACAAGGACACGATGCGATTTGCCCCACAATTCAGGACGGCATTTGGGATTTGCCCCCATCCCAACATGGGATTTGCCCCACAATTCAGGGTGGGATTTGTGATTTGCCCCACAAGGACACGATAGGATTTGCCCCTGAATTCAGGACAGCATTTGGGATTTGCCCCCATCCCAGGACAGGATTTGCCCCCACCCCCCTTTTTTCCCCCCCAGGCCGGGCTGGCAGCTGCCCCAGCACACAGAGGGTTAAAAGGGGCCCTGCCTTCCTCGAGATTTCCTGAAAAATCTCTTTTTTTAGGGTTTTTTCCCCTCTCCTGAGCAGCTGAGGAGCCTCTGGGGAAAAGATAAACAAGAATTATCTGCGGCTGTGGAATGCAACATGCGCGGCCGGGAATTGGCCGTACTGGTTGTTTCTAATTTGTTTTAAATTTGTTTTTAATTCATGGCCAATCACCGGGAGCGGGCTCGGATTCTCTCAGGGTCAACCGCTTTTGTTATCATTCCTTTCAGGGTTTTTTCCTTTTAAGCCTTCTAAAGAAATCTTTTCTTCTATTTTTCGTATGACTTTAATGTATAATTTTCTTTTAATATAAAGTATACCTTTATATATACAATTTTAATTAATATCTATATTAATATATACAGTTTAATATATTATTTTCTTTAAATACAATATATGTCTTAAAAATATAATTTAAATAAATATATAAGTTTCAATATATAATTCTCTTTATATGTAGTAAAATATAAAAAGATATTAAATACATTTTAGTTAATATTTTAATGTATATATTTTTACTATATGGTTGTCTTTTAATATAACATACAGCATAGAATAACAAATATATTTTAAAATAAGATATGTTGTTTTATTAAATAATTTTCTCTTATTAGAATATATATAATAAAAAAATATAATTTTAATTAAGATCTATATTAATATCTATAGTTTTAATAAATAACTATCTTTTAATGTATATCATAAAAAACTATAATTCTAATTAATATATATAGTCTTAAAATTTATTTTTATTTTATTATAATATATATCATAAAAATATATTATATTTATTATATATTATAATAGAGTTTTAATATATATTTTCTTTTAATATAATATTTATCATAAAAGAAAACATTTTAATGTAATATACATCATAAAATACTAAATCAGCCCTATAAAATAATAAATAATAACTAATACAAAATAATAAATCAGCGCTCCCAGTATCGCTCCCAGCGCTCCCAGTTCCCTCCCAGCGCTCCCAGCTCCCTCCCAGCGCTCCCAGTTCCCTCCCAGCGCTCCCAGTACCGCTCTCAGCGCTCCCAGTATCGCTCCCAGCGCTCCGAGTAAGACCGAGCTCCCCCATCCGCGCTCACCTGCGAGCTCCGGGGGTGATGCGGCCGCTCTTCCTCCCGCACCTCCTCTTCCTCTGTCTCTCCTCTTCGTCCTCCTGCTCCTCCCGTGTCCCTCCTCCTCCTCTTCCTCCTCCTGTCGCGCTCCTGCTCCTCCTTTCCTTCCTCCTCAGTCCCTCCTCTTCCTCCCGCTCCTCCTTCTCGCCCTCCTCTCTGCACTGGAAGCGATACTGGGAGCGATACTGGGAGCGATACTGGGAGCGATACTGGGAGGGCACTGGGAGCGCTGGGAGGGAACTGAGAGCGCTGGGAGGGAACTGTGAGCGCTGGGAGCGATACTGGGAGCGCTGGGAGGGAACTGGGATCGCTTTCCCTGCCGGTGCCGCTCTTACTGGGAGCGCTGGGAGCGAACAGCGCCGGGCGGAGGGCGGGGCCGGGCTGATTGGGCGTGGTTATGCAAATCTAAGAGCGATCGCGCGCTGCGATTGGTGGAAGGGAGGAGCGCGGGGTTCGCCCGGCGACGTCATGGCGGGAGGCGGGGGCTGAAGCGTCCGGAGTGAGCGGAGCGGGAATGGAGAACGGGAATCGGGACAGGGAATGGGGACCGGGAATAGGGACCCAGAGTGGGGAAAAGGACCGGGAATGGGAACAAGGACGGGGAATGGGGACCGGGAAACCCGGGAATGGGGACCGGGAGTCGGGATAGGGAATGGGGACCGGGAATGGGGACATGGACCGGGAATCGGGACAAGGTATGGGGACTGGGAATGGAACCAGGAATGCGGACAGGGAGCGGGATTGGGGACAGGGAATGGGGACCGGCAATGCGGACCACAAATGGGAACAGGAAATGGAGACCAGTATTGGGGACAGCGATCGGGAATGACGACATGGAATGGAGGCAGGGAATGGGGACCCAGACTGGGGAGAAGGAGCGGGAATGGGAATGGAGACCGTGGGGTTCCCAAAGTCCTATGGAAGCCCCAAATATGTCCCAGGAACCCTCAACTCCCTCTGGCCCAGCATCCCCCTCATCCCCTGGAAGATCCCCCCATGTCCACATCCTCATCTTGGTTCAACGTCTTTATTATTACCCTCAGAGTTAGAAAGGTGTATAAAAATAACAAAGACAAATAAAAAGGAAATCCAGGCCACGAGGAGCCAGGAGGATGAGGAGCCCCGAGCCAGGTGTGCTGCAAGCAGGAGTAAAGGGGGCTCTGCCCACCTGGGCTCACTGGGCACCATCCAGAGCAGATCCTCCCGTGTGAGATGGAGCTGGAGCAGCACACGGAGCTCTGCCCACCCAGGTCTGCCCTCAGTGCTGGCTCTTTTGGTGTCTGCTCAAGATGGAAACTTGAGAAAATCTCTTCCCACACTGGGGACACTTGTGGGGTCTCTCCCCGGTGTGGATCCTCCTGTGTGTGACCAGAGTTGAGTTGTGCTTGAATCCCACCCCACAATCGGGACAGCGGAAGGGCCTCTCGTCTGTGTGGATGCGCTGGTGAACGAGGAGATCAGACGAGGTATAAAAGCCCTTCTGGCACTGACCACACTCGTAGGGCCTCTCCCCGGTGTGGCTCCTCAGGTGCACAGTCAGGTTGGAGCTGTCTCTGAAGCTCTTCCCACACTGGGGACACTCGTGGGGTCTCTCCCCGGTGTGGATGCGCCGGTGGACGATGAGAGCAAAGTTGCGCCTGAATCCCTTCCCACACTCACGGCAGTGGAACGCCTTCTCCTCGGTGTGAATGAGCTGGTGGCTGAGGAGCTCGGAACTGGTCAGGAACCTCTTCTGGCATTGACCACACTCGTAGGGCCTCTCCCCAGTGTGGATCATCCGGTGCCTGTTGAGGTTGTAGACGCTTTTGAAGCTCTTCCCGCAGTCGGGGCACTGGAAGGGCCTCTCGCCTGTGTGTGAGCGCTGGTGCACCACGAGATAACCGCTGCTCAGAAACCTCTTCTGGCACTGGTCACACTGGTAGGGTCGTTCCCCGGTGTGGCTCCTCTGGTGGACAGTCAGGCTGGAGCTCTCTCTGAAGCTCTTGCCACACTCCCCACACTCATAGGGCCTCTCCCCGGTGTGGATTCGCTGGTGGATGGCGAGGCTCGACCTTTGCCTGAATCCCTTCCCACAATCAGGACAGCAAAATGGCCGCTCGTTGGTGTGAATGCGCTGGTGACTGACGAGATGGGAATTGGTGTAAAACCTCTGATGGCATTCATCACACTCATAGGGCTTCACCCCCGTGTGCCTCCTAAGGTGGAAAGTCAAGCTGGAGCTATGGGTGAAGCTCTTCCCACACTGGGGACACTCGTAGGGTCTCTCCCCCGTGTGGATGCGCTGGTGCTTGCAAAGTTCACCGCTGCTCTGAAACCTCTTCTTGCACTGATTACACTCATATGGTCTCTCCCCAGTGTGAATGCGCCGGTGGGTGGTGAGATTGGAATTTTCCCTGAATCCCTTCCCACAATCAGGACAGCGGAACGGCCGCTCCTCAGTGTGAATGCGCTGGTGACGGAGCAGATGGGAGCTGCTCAAGAACCTCTTCTTGCACACATCACACTCGTAGGGTCGTTCCCCCGTGTGGATTCTGCAATGCTGCATCAGGTCACATCTCTGCTTGAAGCTCTTCCCACACTCGGAGCACTTGTGGGGCTTCTTCTCCAAACCCTGGAGCTGCTCATGGAGCCCCAGCTCGGATCTCTGGCCCTGGTCCAGGGTGGGTTTTTCCCCCTCAGATCCCGTGTGCATTCTCTGGTGCACAATCAGGCAGGATCTCCTCTTGAAGCTCTTCCCACACTCGGAGCACTTGTGGGGCTTCTCCTCCGCATCCTGGAGCTGCTCATGGAGCCCCAGCTCGGATCTCTGAGCCCCTCCATGGCCCAGGCCGGCTCTTGCCCCCTCGGATCCCCGCGCTCTGCCTTTGCAGCCCCTCCTGCTCAGGGATCTCCGCGGCTTCTCCTCCCCGTTGGCTTCTCCCTGCCGAGCCGTGGAGCCGCTCCAAACGGCCTCTGCCACCAGCTCCTCGCTGCTCTCCATGCTCAGCTCCTGCTCGGGGGGAGCAAGGACAAGGACACGATGGGATTTGCCCCCATGGGGACAAGGACACGATGGGATTTGCCCCCGTGGGGACAAGGACACGATGGGATTTGCCCCCATGGGCACAAGGACACGATGCGATTTGCCTCCCCTGCCCCACAAAAACCCTCCCGGAGACCCCCGCGATGGGGTCGGGCCGAGCTCCCCCTCTCCGCTCACCTGCGGCCTCCGGGCGGCGATGCCGGCGGGGCCGGGGCAGCTGAGGCCGGAGCGGGGGAACCGCGTGGTGTTGGGGCGTTTCTTCCTCCCGCGCTTCCTCTTCCTTTGTCCCTCCTTTTCCTTTGTCCCTCCTCTTCCTCCTCCTCCTTCTCCCCCTCCTCTTCCTCCCGCTCCTCTTCCGCTCCGAGTCCGGCCCGGGCAGCGCCGGCAGCAAAATACAGGCGGGGTGAGGGCGTGGTTATGCAAATCCGGGAGCGATCGCGCGCTGGGATTGGTGGGAGGGAGGAGCGCGGGGTGTGCTCGGTGACGTCATTGCTGGGGGTGGAACTGGAGCGTCCGGAGAGAGCGGACCGGGAATGGGGACCGGGAATGGGAACAGGGACGGGAAATGGGGAGCGGGAATGGGGACCGGGAATCGGGACAGGGAATGGGAATGGGGTCCGGGAATGGGGACATGGACCGGGAATGGGGACAAGGAATGGGGCCTGGGAATGGAACCGGGAATGCGGACAGGGAGCGGGATTGGCGAGAGGGAATGGTGACCTGGAATGCGGACAAGGAATGGGAACAGCGAATTGGGACCAGTATTGGAAACAGGGACCGGGAATGGGGACAGGGAATGGAGGCAGGGAATGGGGACCCAGCCTGAGGATAAGGACTGGGAATGGGGACCAGTATCGGGGACCCAGATTGGGGAGAAGGAGCAGAAATGGTAATGGGGACACGGAATGGGGACCATGGGGAGCCCAAATTCCTGGGCAAGCCCTAAATCTATCCCAGGAACCCTCAACTCCCCCTGGCCCAGCATCCTCCTCATCCCCTGGAAGATCCCCCCATGTCCACATCCTTGTCTTCGTTCAACATCTTTATTATTAACCTCGGATTTAGAAAGGTGTATAAAAATAACATAGAGAAATAAAAGGAAAATCCAGGCCATGCGGAGCCTGGAGGATGTGGAGCCCCCAGCCAGGTGTGCTGCAAGCAGGAGTCAAGGGGGCTCTGCCCACCTGGGCTCAAGGGGATCATCCAGAGCAGATCCTCCTGTGTGAGATGGAGCTGGAGAAGCCCATGGAGCTCTTTCCAAACAGGGCTGCCCTCAGTGCTTGCTCTTTTGGTGTCTGGTCAAGCTGGAGATTTGACAAAAGCTCTTCCCACACTGGGGACACTCGTGGGGTCTCTCCCCGGTGTGGATGCGCCGGTGGGTGATGAGTGTGCTCTTCTGAGTGAAGCCCTTCCCGCAGTAACAGCAGCGGAACGGTTTCTCCTCGGTGTGGATGAGCTGGTGACGGAGGAGACAAGCGCTCCTCAGGAACCTCTTCTCACACTGATCACACTCGTAGGGCCTCTCCCCGGTGTGGATGCGTTGGTGGGCGACGAGTTCGGCCTTGTGCCTGAAGCTCTTCCCACAGTCAGGGCAGCGGAAGGGCCTCTCGTCCGTGTGTGAGCGCTGGTGCATGTGGAGATGGGAGCTGCTCTGAAACGTCTTCTGGCACTGGTCACACTCGTACGGTCGTTCCCCAGTGTGGCTCCTCTGGTGGTAAATCAGGTGGGACTTGTACATGAAGCTCTTCCCACACTCTCCACACTCGTGGGGCCTCTCCCCGGTGTGGCTCCTCAGGTGGTAAACCAGGCTGGAGTTGTTGGTGAAGCTCTTCCCACACTGCGGACACTCGCGGGGTCTCTCCCCAGTGTGGATGTTCTGGTGGACGATGAGGGCGGAGTTGTACTTGAAACCCATCCCACAATCAGGACAGCGGAACGGCCTCTCCTTGGTGTGGATGCGCTGGTGCTTGAGGAGATCCCCACTGCTCGGGAACCTCTTCTTGCACTGATCACACTTGTAGGGCCTCTCCCCGGTGTGGGTCCTCTGGTGGACAGTCAGGTGGGAGCTTGAGGTGAAGCCCTTCCCACACTCCCCACACTTGTAGGGTCTCTCCCCAGTGTGGAGGCGCCGGTGGGAGATGAGGTGGCAGTTGTGCCTGAATCCCTTCCCACAGTCAGGACAGCGGAACGGCCGCTCCTCGGTGTGGATGATCTGGTGCGCACGAAGAGTGGCGCTGCTCTGAAACCTCTTCTTGCACACATCACACTCGTAGGGCTTCTGCCCCGTGTGGATCATCTGGTGTTTAACAAAGGTGGAGATGCTCAGGAACCTCTTCTTGCACTGATCACACTCGTAGGGCTTCTCCCCAGTGTGGATGTGCAGGTGCAAGATGAGGGCAGAGCTGCCCCTAAAGCCCTTCCCACAATCAGGGCAGCGGAATGGCCTCTCGCCGGTGTGGATCCGCTGGTGCCTGTGGAGCTCGGAGCTCGTCCGGAACCTCTTCTGGCACTGATCGCACTCGTAGGGCCTCTCCTCAGTGTGAATGCGCTGGTGCTTGCGGAGCTCACCACTGCTCTGAAACCTCTTCTTACACTGATCACACTCATAGGGTCGTTCCCCCGTGTGGTTCCTCAGGTGGACAGTAAGGTAGGATTTCCTGGTGAACCTCTTCCCACACTCGGAGCACTTGTGGGGCTTCTCCTGCCCATCCTGGAGCTGCTCATGGACCCCCAGCTCTGAGCTCTGACCCTGGTCCAGGGTGGGTTTTTCCCCCTCAGATCCCGTGTGGATTCTCAGGTGCACAATCAGGCAGGATCTCCTCCTGAAGCTCTTCCCACACTCGGAGCACCTGTGGGGCTTCTCCTGCCCACCCTGGAGCTGCTCATGGAGCCCCAGCTCGGATCTCTGAGCCCCTCCATGGCCCAGGCTGGCTCTTGCCCCCTCGGATCCCCGCGCTCTGCCTTTGCAGCCCCTCCTGCTCAGGGATCTCCGCGGCTTCTCCTCCCCGTTGGCTTCTCCCTGCCGAGCCGTGGAGCCGCTCCAAACGGCCTCTGCCACCAGCTCCTCGCTGCTCTCCATGCTCAGCTCCTGCTCGGGGGGAGCAAGGACAAGGACACGATGGGATTTGCCCCCATGGGGACAAGGACACGATGGGATTTGCCTCCCCTGCCCCACAAAAACCCTCCCGGAGACCCCCGCGATGGGGTCGGGCCGAGCTCCCCCTCTCCGCTCACCTGCGGCCTCCGGGGGGCGATGCCGGCGGGGTCGGGGCAGCAGCGGCCGGAGCGCGGGAACCGCGTGGTGTTGGGGCGCCTCTTCCTCCCAGTGCTCCTCTTCCGTTGTCCCTCCTCTTCTTTTCTCCCTCCTTTACCACTTTCTTTTTCTCTCCTCTTGCTTTGTCCCGCCTCTTCCTCCCGCTCTTCCTCTTCCTTCGTCCCGCCTCTTCCTTTGTCTCTCCTTTTACCGTTTCCTTTCTCTCCCCTCTTTCCTTGTCCCTCCTCTTCCTTTGTCCCTCCTCTTCCTCCCCCTTCTTTCCTCACCCCTCCTCTTCCTCCCGCTCCTCCTCCGCTCCGACTCCGGCTCGGGCAGCGCCGGCGCCCAAATGCAGGAGGGGAGCGAGGGCGTGGTTATGCAAATTAGGAAGGAATCGCGCGCTGCGATTGGTGCGTGAGGAGCGCGGGGTTTGCTCGGTGACGTCATGGCGGGAACGGGGAATCGGGACGGGGAATGAGGACCGGGAACGGAAAAGGGACCCTGTGGTGGTCACAGGGGTCCCAAGATGACAGAAGAGATGAAAATTTCGACTCCATGATTTTTTTTTCAGAAAGCTAATTCATTACTTTATTATTGATATAATATATTAGAAGAAACTTCTGTATTAAAATTATACCAGGTTTATAGAACACAAGGATTTCATCGGAAAGCTGGAAAATAATAGAAAATTATTATGATAAAATCTGATGAGTGAACAGAGACCTGCGAGAGTCAAATTTTAATTGTTCAGTAATTAAAAATAACTATATTAAAGCAATCAAGGCAAAATTGCCGCATTCCACAGCAGCAGATCATTAGTGTTTATTTTAAATCTTGAGGCCTCTCAGCTCCTCAAGAGGAAAAGATCCAAAGGAAAAGATTCTTTAATAAAATATTTCTGTGACAGGAGCGTGAATACTGGACTGGGAATACAGGAGAGGGACTGGGATTGGGATCAGGAATCAGAAAATGGGAACAGGACAGGGAATAGAGAAAGAAGAATTAGGGACTGGAATAGGAAAATGGAAACAGGACAGGAAATAGAGAAATGGGAATTAGGGACTGGAATAGGAAAAGGAGAACAAAACAGGAAATAGAGAAATGGGAATTTGGGACTGGAACAGGAAAATGGGAACAGGACAGGGAATACGGGAATGGCAACCAGACAGAGAATATGGGACAGGGACAAGTATTGAGACAGGAATGGGATCTGGACTCGGATAAGAGCAGGACCCTGGACAGGGGACAGCAGGAACCAGGACGGGAGGACGTGGGGACACTGCCAGGGCAGGGGGTCCTTGATCTGCTGCCCCAGATGGAGCTGCTGGGCCTGGGGTGCCCAAAGCCCTGAGGAACCCCCAAATCTGTCCCAGGAACCCTCACCTCCCTCTGGCCCAGCATCCTACTCATCCCCTGGAAGATCCCCCCATGTCCACATCGTCCTCTTGGTTCAACGTCGTTATTATTAACTTCGGATTTAGAGGGGTGTATAAAAATACCAAGGAGAAATAAAAAGGAAATCCAGGCCACGAGGAGCCAGGAGGATGTGGAGCCCCCAGCCAGGTGTGCTGCAAGCAGGAGTAAAGGGGGCTCTGCCCACCTGGGCTCACTGGGGACCATCCAGAGCAGATCCTCCCGTGTGAGATGGAGCTGGAGCAGCACACAGAGCTCTTCCCACCCAGGTCTGCCCTCAGTGCTGGCTCTGTAGGTGTCTGGTCAAGCGGGAAATTCGAGAAAAGCTCTTCCCACACTGGGAACACTTGTGGGATCTCTCCCCGGTGTGGATACTCCTGTGTGTGACCAGATTTGTGTTCAGCTTGAATCCCACCCCACAATCGGGACAGCGGAAGGGCCTCTCGTCCGTGTGGATGCGCTGGTGCTTGAGGAGATCAGACGAGGTGTAAAAGCCCTTCTGGCACTGATCACACTCGTAGGGCCTCTCCCCAGTGTGGGTCCCCAGGTGGGCAGTCAGGTGGGAGCTCTTTCGGAAGCCCTTCCCACACTGGGGACACTCGTGGGGTCTCTCCCCGGTGTGGATGCGCCGGTGGACGATGAGGTTGGACTTGTGCCTGAATCCCTTCCCACACTCACGGCAGTGGAACGGCCTCTCCTCGGTGTGAATGAGCTGGTGACTGAGGAGATGGGAGCTGCTCTGAAACCTCTTCTGGCACTGACCACACTCGTAGGGCCTCTCCCCGGTGTGGATGCGGCGGTGCCTGTTGAGGTGGGAGACGCTTTTGTAGCCCTTCCCGCAGTCGGGTCACTGGAAGGGCCTCTCGTCTGTGTGTGAGCGCTGGTGCACCAGGAGATCATTGCTCCTCAAAAACCGCTTCTTGCACTGGTCACACTCGTAGGTTCGTTCCCCCGTGTGGCTCCTCTGGTGGTAAATCAGGTGGTACATGGACATGTAGCTCTTCCCGCACTCCGCACACTCGTAGGGTCGTTCCCCTGTGTGGATTCTGCAATGCTGCATCAGCCAGGATCTCCACCTGAAGCTCTTACCGCACTCCGAGCACTTGTGGGGCTTCTCCTCCCCACCCTGGAGCTGCTCATGGAGCCCCAGCTCGGATCTCTGAGCCACTCCATGGCCCACGCTGGCTCTTTCCCCCTCGGATCCCCGCGCTCTGCCTTTGCAGCCCCTCCTGCTCAGGGATCTCCGCGCCTTCTCCTCCCCGTTGGCTTCTCCCTGCCGAGCCGTGGAGCCGCTCCAAACGGCCTCTGCCACCAGCTCCTCGCTGCTCTCCATGCTCAGCTCCTGCTCGGGGGGAGTAAGGACAAGGACACGATGGGATTTGCCTCCGTGGGGACAAGGACACGATGGGATTTGCCCCCGTGGGGACAAGGACAGGATGGGATTTGCGCCCATGGGGACAAGGACACGATGGGATTTGCCCCACATTTGAGGATGAGATTTGGGATTTGGTATTTGCCCCAGAATTCAGGATGGGATATACCCCACAAGGACACGATGGGATTTGCCCCACAATTCAGGACGGCATTTGGGATTTGCCCCCATCCCTGGACAGGATTTGCCCCCACCCCCCTTTTCTCGCCCCCAGGCCGGGCTGGCAGCTGCCCCAGCACACAGAGGGTTAAAAGGGGCCCTGCCTTCCTCCAGATTTCCTGAAAAATCTCTTTTTTTAGGGTTTTTTCCCCTCTCCTGAGCAGCTGAGGAGCGTCTGGGGAAAAGATAAACAATAATTATCTGCAGCTGTGGAATGCAATAGGCACGGCCGGGATTGGGCCGCACTGGTTGTTTTTTATTTGTATTTAATTTGTTTTGAATTCATGGCCAATCACGGGGAGCAGGCTCGGATTCTCTCAGGTTCAGCAGCTTTTGTTATCATTCCTTTCAGGGTTTTTTCCTTTTGAGCCTTCTAACGAAATCTTTTCTTCTTTTTTAGGTATGGTTTTAATGTATAATTTTCTTTTAATATATATCTTTATATATACAATTTTAATTAATATCTATATTAATACATAGAGTTTTAATATATAATTTTCTTTAGGTAGAATATATATCTTAAAAATATAACTTAAATTATTATATAAATATATAGTTTTAATATATAATTTTCTTTAAATATGATAGAATATAACAAGATAATAAATACATTTTAATTATTATATTAATAAAAAGAAAATAAATACATTTTAATTATTATATTAATATATATAACTTTAATATACGATTTTCTGTTAATATAATATACACCATAAAAAAATTATTTTTTGTGTAATATATATAAAAAAAATAATAAATCAGCCCTATAAAATAGTAAATAATAACTAATAGAAATTAATAGATCTGTCGTCCCAGTTCATTCCCAATGCTCCCAGTACCGCTCCCAGTGCTCCCAGTTCCCTCCCAGCGCTCCCAGTATCGCTCCTGGCATCGCTCCCAGCGCTCCCAGTAAGACCGAGCTCCCCCATCCGCGCTCACCTGCGGGCTCCGGGGGTGATGCGGCCGCTCTTCCTCCCGCTCCTCCTCTTCCTCTGTCCCTCCTCTTCCTCCTCCTGCTCCTCCCGTGTCCCTCCTCCTCCTCTTCCTCCTCCTCTCGCGCTCCTGCTCCTCCTTTCCTTCCTCCTCAGTCCCTCCTCTTCCTCCCGCGCCTCCTTCTCTCCCTCCTCTCTGCACTGGGAGCGATACTGGGAGCGATACTAGGAGGGAACTGGGAGCGCTGGGAGCGAACAGCGCCGGGCGGCGGGAGGGGCCGGCCTGAGTGGGCGTGGTTATGCAAATCCAAGACCGATCGCGCGCTGCGATTGGTGGGCGGGAGGAGCGCGGGGTTTGCCCGGCGACGTCATGGCGGGAGGCGGGGGCTGAAGCGTCCGGAGAGAGCGGAGCGGGAATGGAGACCGGGAATGGGGACCGGGAATGGGGACCGGGAATAGGATTGGGAATGGGGAACGGGAATGGGAACGGTGACCGGGAATGGAGACATGGACCAGGAATCGGGACAAGGAATGGGGACTGGTAATGGAACCGGAAATGCGGACAGGGAGCGTGATTGGGGACAGGGAATGGGGAACGGGAATTGAGACCAGGAATGGGAACAGGGAATGGGGACCAGTATTTGGGACAGGGACCACGAATGGGGACAAGGAATGGAGGCAGGGAATAGGAACCCAGACTGGGGATAAGGACCGGGAATGGGGACAGGGAATGGGGACCATGGGGTTCCCTAGGTCCTAAGGAAGCCCCAAATCTGTCCCAGGAACACTCAACTCCCCCTGGCCCAGCATCCCCCTCATCCCCTGGAAGATCCCCCCCAAGTCCACATCCTGGTCTTCGTTCAACATCTTTATTCTTCACCTCGGATTTAGAAAGGTGTATAAAAAAAACAAAGAGAAATCAAAAGGAAATCCAGGCCACGAGGAGCCAGGAGGATGTGGAGCCCCCAGCCAGGTGTGCTGCAAGCAGGAGTCAAGGGGGCTCTGCCCACCTGGGCTCACTGGGCACCATCCAGAGCAGATCCTCCTGAGTGACATGGAGCTGCAGCAGCGCACGGAGCTCTTCCCACTCAGGGCTGCCCTCAGTGCTGGCTCTGTAGGTGTCTGGTGAAGGCAGAGGTTTTAGAGAAGCTCTTCCCACACTGGGGACAGTCGTGGGGTCTGTCCCCAGTGTGGACCCTCCTGTGTCTGACCAGAGTTGAGTTGTGCTTGAATCCCACCCCACAATCGGGACAGCGGAAGGGCCTCTCGTCCGTGTGGATGCGCTGGTGCTTGAGGAGAACAGACGAGGTGTAAAAGCTCTTCTGGCACTGATCACACTCGTAGGGCCTCTCCCCGGTGTGGCTCCTCAAGTGCACAGTCAGGTGGGAGGTCTCTCTGAATCCCTTCCCACACTGGGGACATTCGTGGGTTCTGTCCCCAGTGTGGATGCGCCGGTGGGTGATGAGGTTGGAGTTGCGTCTGAAACCCTGCCCGCACTCACGGCAGTGGAACGGCCTCACCTCGGTGTGAATGAGCTGGTGACTGCGGAGATGGGAGCTGCTCAGGAACCTCATCTGGCACTGATCACACTCATAGGGCCTCTCCCCGGTGTGGCTCCTCAGGTGGACAGTCAGGCTGGAGCTCTCTCTGAAGCCCTTCCCACACTGGGGACACTCGTGCGGTCTCTCCCTGGTGTGGATGCGCCGGTGCCTGATGAGGGCAGAGTTGTCCCTGAATCCCCTCCCACACTCACGGCAGTGGAACGGCTTCTCCTCGGTGTGAATGAGCTGGTGACGGAGGAGCTCGGAGCTGGTCAGGAACCTCTTCTGGCACTGATCACACTCATAGGGCCTCTCCCCGGTGTGGCTCCTCAGGTGGACAGTCAGGCTGGAGCTCTCTCTGAAGCCCTTCCCACACTGGGGACACTCGTGCGGTCTCTCCCCAGTGTGGATTCGCTGGTGGATGACGAGGTCGGACCTTTGCCGGAATCCCTTTCCACAATCAGGACAGCAAAATGGCCGCTCGTCGGTGTGAATGCGCTGGTGACGGACGAGATGGGAATTGGCGTAAAACCTCTGATGGCATTCATCACACTCATAGGGCTTCTCCCCCGTGTGCCTCCTCAGGTGGGCATTCAGGTTGGATCTCCTCCTGAAGCTGCTCCCACACTGGGAGCACTTGTGGGGCTTCTCCTGCCCACCCTGGAGCTGCTCATGGAGCCCCAGCTCGGATCTCTGAGCCCCTCCATGGCCCAGGCTGGCTCTTGCCCCCTCGGATCCCCACGCTCTGCCTTTGCAGCCCCTCCTGCTCAGGGATCTCCGCGGCTTCTCCTCCCCGTTGGCTTCTCCCTGCCGAGCCGTGGAGCCGCTCCAAACGGCCTCTGCCACCAGCTCCTCGCTGCTCTCCATGCTCAGCTCCTGCTCGGGGGGAGCAAGGACAAGGACACGATGGGATTTGCCCCCATGGAGACAAGGACACGATGGGATTTGCCCCCGTGGGGACAAGGACACGATGGGATTTGCCCCACAGCTGAGGATGAGATTTGGGATTTGGGATTTGTCCCACTATTCAGGATGGGATTTATCCCACAAGTTCAGGAAGGGATTTGCCCCACAATTCAGGGTGGGATTTGTGATTTGCCCCACAAGGACACGATGGGATTTGCCCCACAATTCAGGACGGCATTTCGGATTTGCCCCCATCCCTGGACAGGATTTGCCCCCACCCCCCTTTTTCCCCCCCAGGCCGGGCTGGCAGCTGCCCCTGCACACAGAGGGTTAAAAGGGGCCCTGCCTTCCTCAAGATTTCCTGAAAAATCTCTTTCTTTAGGGTTTTTTCCCCTCTCCTGAGCAGCTGAGGAGCCTCTGAGGAAAAGATAAACAAGAATTATCTGCGGCTGTGGAATGCAACAGGCGCCGCCGGGATTGGGCCGCTCTGGGTGTTTTTAATTTGTTTTAAATTTGTTTTTAATTCATGGCAAATCACGGGGAGCGGACTCAGATTCTCTCAGGGTCAGCAGCTTTTGTTATCATTCCTTTAAGGATTCTTTCCTTTTAAATCTTCTAGAGAAATCTTTTCTTCTATTTTTAGTATGGTTTTAATGTAAAATTTTCTTTTCATATAAAATATATCTCTATATATACAATTTTAATAAATATCTATATTAATACATACAGTTATAATATATTATTTTCTTTAAATACAATATACATTTAAAAAATATAATTTCAATTAATGTATTAGTTTAGATAGTTTCAATATACAATTCTCTTTAAATATAATAGAATATAAAAAGATAATAAATACATTTTCATTAATATATAATTGTATATATTTTTAGTATATGGTTGTCTTTTAATATAATATATAGCATAAAATAACAAATATATTTTTAAGTAAGATATATTGTTTTATTAAAATATTTTCTCTTATTAGAATATATATATTAAAATAATAAATATAATTTTAATTAAGATCTCTATTAATATCTATAGTTTTAATAAATAATTATATTTTAATATATATCATAAAATAACAACTATAATTCCTATTAATATGTATAATCTTTAAATTTATTTTTATTTTTATATAATATATATCATTAAAAATATATTTTAAGTTAATATATATTACAATAGAGAGAGTTTTAATATAGAATTTTCTTTTAATATAATATTTATCATGAAATAAAACATTTTAATGTAATATACATCATAAAATACTAAATCAGCCCTATAAAATAATAAATAATAACAAATACAAAATAATAAATCAGCGCTCCCAGTTCCCTCCCAGCGCTCCCAGTACCGCTCCCAGCGCTCCCAGCGCTCCCAGTAAGACCGAGCTCCCCCATCCGCGCTCACCTGCGGGCTCCGGGGGTGATGCGGCCGCTCTTCCTCCCGCTCCTCCTCTTCCTCCTCCTGCTCCTCCCGTGTCCCTCCTCCTCCTCTTCCTCCTCCTGTCGCGCTCCTGCTCCTCCTTTCCTTCCTCCTCAGTCCCTCCTCTTCCTCCCGCTCCTCCTTCTCGCCCTCCTCTCTGCACTGGGAGCGATACTGGGAGCGATACTGGGAGCGATACTGGGAGCGCTGAGAGGGAACTGGGAGCGGTGGGAGCAATACTGGCAGCGATACTGGGAGGGAACTGGGAGCGCTGGGAGCGCTGGGAGCGAACTGGGAGCGAACTGGGAGCGCTGGGAGGAACTGGGAGCGCTGGGAGCGATACTGGGAGCGCTGGGAGGGAACTGGGAGCGCTGAGAGGGAACTGGGAACCCTTTCCCTGCCGGTGCCGATCTTACTGGGAGCGCTGGGAGGGAACTGGGAGCGCTTTCCCTGCCGGTGCCGCTCTTACTGGGAGCGCTGGGAGCGAACAGCGCCGGGCGGCGGGCGGGGCCGGCCTAAATGGGCGTGGTTATGCAAATCCCGGTGCGATCGCGCGCTGCGATTGGTGGACGGGAGGAGCGCGGGATTTACCCGGCGACGTCATGGCGGGAGGCGGGGGCTGAAGCGTCCGGAGAGAGCGGAGCGGGAATGGAGACCGGGAATCGGGACAGGGAATGGGGACCGGGAATAGGGACCCAGACTGGGGAAAAGGACCGGGAATGGGAACAAGGGCGGGGAATGGGGACCGGGAAACCCGGGAATGGAGACCGGGAATCGGGACAGGGAATGGTGACCGGGAATGGGGCTTTGTTTGGCAATCAGGACAAGGAATGGGGACTGGGAATGGAACCAGGAATGCGGACAGGGAGCGGGACTGGGGACAGGGAATGGGGACCGGCAATGCGGACCGCAAATGGGAACAGGAAATGGAGACCAGTATTGGGGACAGCGATCTGGAATGACGACATGGAATGGAGGCAGGGAATGGGGACCCAGACTGGGGAGAAGGAGCGGGAATGGGAATGGGGACCCGGAATGGGGACCGTGGGGTGCACAAAGTCCTAAGGAAGCCCCAAATATGTCCCAGGAACCCTCAACTCCCTCTGGCCCAGCATCCCCCTGATCCCCTGGAAGATCCCCCCATGTCCCCATACTCGTCTTGGTTCAACGTCTTTATTATTACCCTCAGAGTTAGAAAGGTGGATAAAAATAACAAAGACAAATAAAAAGAAAAACCAGGCCACGAGGAGCCAGGAGGAAGTGGAGCCCCCAGCCAGGTGTGCTGCAAGCAGGAGTAAAGGAGGCTCTGCCCACCTGGGCTCACTGGGCACCATCCAGAGCAGATCCTCCCGTGTGAGATGGAGCTGGAGCAGCGCACGGAGCTCTTCCCACCCAGGGCTGCCCTCAGTGCTGGCTCTTCTGGTGTCTGCTCAAGATGGAAACTTGAGAAAATCTCTTCCCACACTGGGGACACTTGTAGGGTCTCTCCCCGGTGTGGATCCTCCTGTGTCTGACCAGAGTTGAGTTGTGCTTGAATCCCACCCCACATTCGGGACAGCGGAAGGGCCTCTCGTCCGTGTGGATGCGCTGGTGAACGAGGAGATCAGATGAGGTGTAAAAGCTGTTCTGGCACTGATCACACTCGTAGGGTCGTTCCCCCCGTGTGGCTCCTCAGGTGGACAGTCAGGTTGGATCTACTCTTGAAGCACTTCCCACACTCCGAGCACCTGTGGGGCTTCTCCTGCCCACCCCGGAGCTGCTCATGGAGACCCAGCTCGGATGTCTCAGCCCCTCCATGGCCCAGGCTGGCTCTTTCCACCTCGGATCCCCGCGCTCTGCCTTTGCAGCCCCTCCTGCTCAGGGATCTCCGCGGCTTCTCCTCCCCGTTGGTTTCTCCCTGCCGAGCCGTGGAGCCGCTCCAAACGGCCTCTGCCACCAGCTCCTCGCTGCTCTCCATGCTCAGCTCCTGCTCGGGGGGAGCAAGGACAAGGACACGATGGGATTTGCCCCCGTGGGGACAAGGACACGATGGGATTTGCCCGCATGAGGAGAAGGACACGATGGGATTTGCCCCCGTGGGGACAAGGACACGATGGGATTTGCCTCCCCTGCCACAAAAAACCCTCCCGGAGACCCCCGCGATGGGGTCGGGCCGAGCTCCCACTCTCCGCTCACCTGCGGGCTCCGGGGGGCGATGCCGGCGGTGCCGGGGCAGCTGCGGCCGGAGCGGGGGAACCGCGTGGTGTTGGGGCGCGTCTTCTTCCCGCGCTTCCTATTCCTTTGTCCCTCCTCTTCCTTTGTCCCTCCTCTTCCTCCTCCTCCTTCTTTCCCCGCCCGTGCACCGCCAGCACCAAAATACGGGCGGAGAGCGAGGGCGTGGTTATGGAAATGAGAGAGCAAACGCGCGCAGGCATTGGTGGGAGGGAGGAGCGCGGGATTTCCTCAGTGACGTCATGGCGGGGGCAGGAACTGGAGCGTCCGCAGAGAGCGGAGCTGGAATGGGGACCGGGAATTGAGGCAGGGAATGGGGACCTAGACTGGGGATAAGAAGCCGGAATGGTAATGGGGACAGGGAATGGGGACCGTGGGGTTCCCAAAGTCCTAAGGAAACCCCAAATCAGTCCCAGGAATCCTGAACTCCCTCTGTCCCAGCATCCCCCTCATCCCCTGGAAGATCCCCCCATTTCCACATCCTCATCTTGCTTAGCTGTCTTTATTATTAACATCGGATTAAAAAATGTGTATAAAAATGACAAGGAGAGAAAAAAAGAATATCCAGCCCACGAGGAGCCAGGAGGATGTGGAGCCCCCAGCCAGGTGTGCTGCAAGCAGGAGTCAAGGGGCCCTGCCCACCTGGGCTCACTGGGCACGATCCAGAGCAGATCCTCCCGTCTGAGATGGAGGTGGAGCAGCAGACGGAGCTCTTCCCACCCATGGCTGCCCTCAGTGCTGGCTCTGTAGGTGTCTGCTCAAGCGGGAAATTCGATAAAAGCTCTTCCCACACTGGGAACACTTGTGGGGTCTCTCCCCGGTGTGGATCCTCCTGTGTGTGACCAGAGCTGAGTTGCGCTTGAATCCCACCCCACATTCGGGACAGCGGAAGGGCCTCTCGTCCGTGTGGATGCGCTGGTGACTGAGGAGTTCAGACGAGGTGTAAAAGCCCTTCTGGCACTGATCACACTCATAGGGCCTCTCGCCAGTGTGGCTTCTTAGGTGGACAGTCAGGTGGGAGCTCTTGGTGAAACTCTTCCCACACTGGGGACACTCGTGGGGTCTCTCCCCGGTGTGGATGCGCCGGTGGACGATGAGGTTGGAGTTCTGTCTGAATCCCTTCCCACACTCACGGCAGTGGAACGGCCTGTCCACGGTGTGAATGAGCTGGTGACGGAGGAGATGGGAGCTGCTCAGTAACCTCATCTGGCACTGACCACACTCGTAGGGCCTCTCCCCGGTGTGGATGCGCCGGTGCCTGTTGAGGTGGGAGACGCTTTTGAAGCCCTTCCCGCAGTCGGGACACTGGAAGGGCCTCTCATCTGTGTGTGAGCGCTGGTGCTGTACGAGATCAGAACTGCTTCGAAACCTCTTCTGGCACTTATCACACTTGTAGGGTCGCTCCCTGGTGTGGATCCTGCAATGTTTCATCAGCCAGGATCTCCACCTGAAGCTCTTCCCACACTCGGAGCACTTGTGGGCCTTCTCCTGCCCACCCTGGAGCTGCTCATGGAGCCCCAGCTCGGATCTCTGAGCCCCTCCATGGCCCACGCTGGCTCTTGCCCCCTCGGATCCCCGCGCTCTGCCTTTGCAGCCCCTCCTGCTCAGGGATCTCCGCGGCTTCTCCTCCCCGTTGGCTTCTCCCTGCCGAGCCGTGGAGCCGCTCCAAACGGCCTCTGCCACCAGCTCCTCGCTGCTCTCCATGCTCAGCTCCTGCTCGGGGCGAGCAAGGACAAGGACACGATGAGATTTGCCCCCATGGGGACAAGGACACGATGCGATTTGCCCCCATGGGCACAAGGACACGATGGGATTTGCCTCCCCTGCCCCACAAAAACCCTCCCGGAGACCCCCGCGATGGGGTCGGGCCGAGCTCCCCCTCTCCGCTCACCTGCGGCCTCCGGGCGGCGATGCCGGCGGGGCCGGGGCAGCTGCGGCCGGAGCGGGGGAACCGCGTGGTGTTGGGGCGCCTCTTCCTCCCGGTGTTCCTGTTCCTTTGTCCCTCCTCTTCCTTTGTCCCTCCTCTTCCTCCCCCTCCTTCTCCCCCTCCTCTTCCTCCCGCTCCTCCTCCGCTCCGAGTCCGGCCCGGGCAGCGCCGGCACCCAAAAGCTGGCGGGGCGAGGGCGTGGTTATGCAAATCTTGAGGCGATCGCCCGCTGGGATTGGTGGAGGGCAGGAGCGCGGGCTTTGCTCGCTGACCTCATGGAGGGAACGGGGAATCGCGACGGGGAATGGGCTCCGGGAACGGAAAAGGGACCCTGTGGTTGTCACCGGGGTCCCAAGATGAGGCAAGAGATTAAAATTTTGACTCCATGTTTTTATTTTGAGAAAGCTGATTTATTATTTTATTATTGATATATGATATTGAAAGATTATGCTATATTGAAATTATACTACAAGAATAGAAAAGAGGATTGCAACAGAAAGGTAGAAAATAATAAAAAACAATGATAATGAAATCTTGTGAGTGACCAGAGAGTCTGATATAGCTGAGCTTTGATTGGCCATTAATTAAAAACTACCACGAGACCGATCTATGATGAAATTGTTGCATTCCACAGCAGCAGATACTTAGTGTTGAAATTTCATTCTTGAGGCCTCTCAGCTTCTGAGGAGAAAAAGATACTAAGGAAAGGATTTTTGAATAAAATATGTCCATGACACATTTTATTTAAATGGAGCGTGAATACTGGACTGGGATTGTGAATACAGGAGAGGGGCTGGTATTGTGATCAGGAATCAGAAAATGGGAACGGGACAGGGAATAGAGAAATGGGAATTAGAGACTGGAATAGGAAAAGGAGAACAAAACACGAAATAGAGAAATGGGAATTGGGGACTGGAACAGGAAAATGGGAACAGGAAATACGGGAATGGCATCCAGATAGAGAATATGGGACAGGGACAAGTATTGAGACAGGAATGGGATCTGGACTCGGATGAGAGCAGGATCCTGGACAGGGGACAGCAGGAACCAGGACGGGAGGACGTGGGGACACTGCCAGGGCAGGAGGTCCTTGATCTGCTGCCCCAGATGGAGCTGCTGGGCCTGGGGTGACCAAAGCCCTAAGGAACGCCGAAATCTGTCCCAGGAACCCTCAACTCCATGGACCCAGCATCCCCCTCATGCCCATCCTTGCTTTATTTTAATGTCTATATTTTCAACCACAGATTTGGGTGTTTGGAAAGGGCAAAGAGAAATAAAAAGAAAATCCAGGCCATGACGAGCCAGGAGGATGTGGAGCCCTCAGCCGGGTGTGCTCCAAACAGGGATCACCTGGGCTCTGCCCTCCTGGGCTCACTGGGAATCATCCAGAGCAGATCCTCCCATGCTGGAGAAGACATCCAAGGATATCTAGTGTTGTTTAAAACCACCAACAGTTGGAAAAAATGAGATTTTTCAAGGGTCAGAAGTTGAAAAATCCTGGAGGACGTGGAGCCCTCAGCCAGGTGTTCTCCAAAGAGGGATCAAGGGGGTTCTGCCCACCTGGGCTCACAGGGGATCCTCCCAAAGAGGGATGGATTGATATTGGAGAAGCCATCCAAGGCTATCTAGTGTTGCTGAAGATCACCAAAAGATGAAAAAAAAAGGACAACATTTTTCTAGAGTCAGAAGCTGACAAATCTGCTCTCCACAAACCATTTCTCATCTTGGACTGCAGATGAGTTCAGGTGACCACGGGGAGCCAGGAGGATGTGGAGCCCCCAGCCAGGTGTCTTCTACACAGGAATCAAGGGGGTTCTGCCCAGCTGGGCTCACTGGAGATCATCCAGAGCAGATCCTCCCGTGTGAGATGGAGCTGGAGCAGTGTATGAAGCTCTGCCCACCAAGGGCTGCCCTCAGTGCTGGCTCTGTAGGTGTCTGGTCAAATTGGAGGTTTCAGAGAAGCTCTTCCCAAACTGGGGACACTCGTGGGGTCTCTCCCCGGTGTGGATGCGCTGGGACATGATGAGGGCTGAACTGAGCCTGAAGCCCTTCCCGCAGGCACGGCAGCGGAATGGCCTTCTCTTGGTGTGGCTGCGCTGGTGGCTGAGGAGATGGGAGCTGGTCTGAAACCTCTTCTGGCACTGATCTCACTCTTAGGGCCTCTCCACGGTGTGGCTCCTCAGGTGCACAGTCAGGTTGGAGCTCTCTCTGAAGCTCTTCCCACACTGGGGACACTCGTGGGGTCTCTCCCCGGTGTGGAAGCACCGGTGCTGGTTGAGGGTGGAGACGCGGTTGAAGCGCTTCCCGCAGTCGGGGCACTGGAAGGGCCTCTCGTCCGTGTGTGAGAGCTGGTGCACCACGAGATCAGAGCTGCTCAGAAACCTCTTCTTGCACTGGTCACACTTGTAGGGTCGTTCACCCGTGTGGCTCCTCCGGTGGACAATCAGGTTGTGCTTGGTCATGAAACTCTTCCCATTCTCCGCACACTTCTACGGCCTCTCCCCGGTGTGGCTTCTGAGGTGGACAGTCAGGTTGGACCTCTGGGTGAAACGCTTCCCACACTGGGGACACTCATAGGGCCTCTCCCCGGTGTGGCTCCTCAGGTGGACAGTCAGGTTGACGCTCTGGGTGAAGCTCTTCCCACACTGGGGACACTTGTGGGGTCTCTCCCCAGTGTGGATCCTCCTGTGTGTGACCAGATTTGAGTTGCGCTTGAATCCCACCCCACAATCGGGACAGCGGAAGGGCCTCTCGTCCGTGTGGATGCGCTGGTGAACGAGGAGTTCAGACGAGGTGTAAAAGCCCTTCTTACACTGATCACACTCGTAGGGCCTCTCCCCGGTGTGGCTTCTGAGGTGGACAGTCAGATGGCAGCTCCGGTTGAAACTCTTCCCACACTGGGGACACTCATAGGGCCTCTCACCAGCGTGGCTCCTCAGGTGCACAGTGAGATGGGAGCTCTGGGTGAAGCCCTTCCCACACTGGGGACACTCGTGTGGTCTCTCCCCGGTGTGGATGCGCCGGTGGACGATGAGGGTAGAGTTGCGCCTGAAACCCTGCCCGCACTCACGGCAGTGGAACGGCCTCTCTTCAGTGTGAATGAGCTGGTGACTGAGGAGATTGGAGCTGCTCAGGAACCTCTTGTGGCACTGATCACACTTGTAGGGTACCTCCCCGGTGTGAATGCGCCGGTGGGTGCGGAGAATGGAATTTTCCCTGAATCCCTTCCCACAATCAGGACAGCGGAACGGCCGCTCCTCGGTGTGAACCAGTTGGTGACGGAGCAGATGGGAGCTGCTCAAGAACCTCTTCTTGCACACATCACACTGGTAGGGTCGTTTCCCCGTGTGGCTCCTCTGGTGGTAAATCAGGTGGTACTTGGACATGTAGCTCTTCCCGCATTCCCCACACTCGTAGGGTCGTTCCCCTGTGTGGATTCTGCAATGCTGCATCAGCAAGGATCTCCACCTGAAGCTCTTCCCACACTCGGAGCACTTGTGGGGCTTCTCCTGCCCATCCTGGAGCTGCTCATGGACCCCCAGCTCTGAGCTCTGACCCTGGTCCAGGGTGGGTTTTTCCCCCTCAGATCCCGTGTGGATTCTCTGGTGCACAATCAGGCAGGACCTCCTCCTGAAGCTCTTCCCACACTCGGAGCACTTGTGGGGCTTCTCCTCCCCGCCCTGGAGCTGCTCATGGAGCCCCAGTTCGGATCTCTGAGCCCCTCCATGGCCCAGGCTGGCTCTTGCCCCCTCGGATCCCCGCGCTCTGCCTTTGCAGCCCCTCCTGCTCAGGGATCTCCGCGGCTTCTCCTCCCCGTTGGTTTCTCCCTGCCGAGCCGTGGAGCCGCTCCAAACGGCCTCTGCCACCAGCTCCTCGCTGCTCTCCATGCTCAGCTCCTGCTCGGGGGGAGCAAGGACAAGGACACGATGGGATTTGCGCCATGGGGACAAGGACACGATGGGATTTGCCGCCGTGGGGACAAGGACACGATGGGATTTGCCCGCATGAGGAGAAGGACACGATGGGATTTGCCCCCGTGGGGACAAGGACACGATGGGATTTGCCTCCCCTGCCACAAAAAACCCTCCCGGAGACCCCCGCGATGGGGTCGGGCCGAGCTCCCCCTCTCCGCTCACCTGTGGGCTCCGGGGGGCGATCCCGGCGGGGCCGGGGCAGCTGCGGCCGGAGCGGGGGAACCGCGTGGTGTTGGGGCGCGTCTTCTTCCCGCGCTTCCTATTCCTTTGTCCCTCCTCTTCCTTTGTCCCTCCTCTTCCTCCTCCTCCTTCTTTCCCCGCCCGTGCACCGCCAGCACCAAAATACGGGCGGAGAGCGAGGGCGTGGTTATGGAAATGAGAGAGCAAACGCGCGCAGGCATTGGTGGGAGGGAGGAGCGCGGGATTTCCTCAGTGACGTCATGGCGGGGGCAGGAACTGGAGCGTCCGCAGAGAGCGGAGCTGGAATGGGGACCGGGAATTGAGGCAGGGAATGGGGACCCAGACTGGGGATAAGAAGCCGGAATGGTAATGGGGACAGGGAATGGGGACCGTGGGGTTCCCAAAGTCCTAAGGAAACCCCAAATCAGTCCCAGGAATCCTGAACTCCCTCTGTCCCAGCATCCCCCTCATCCCCTGGAAGATCCCCCCATTTCCACATCCTCATCTTGCTTAGCTGTCTTTATTATTAACATCGGATTAAAAAATGTGTATAAAAATGACAAGGAGAGAAAAAAAGAATATCCAGCCCACGAGGAGCCAGGAGGATGTGGAGCCCCCAGCCAGGTGTGCTGCAAGCAGGAGTCAAGGGGCCCTGCCCACCTGGGCTCACTGGGCACGATCCAGAGCAGATCCTCCCGTCTGAGATGGAGGGGGAGCAGCACACGGAGCTCTTCCCACCCAGGTCTGCCCTCAGTGCTGGCTCTGTAGGTGTCTGCTCAAGCGGGAAATTCGATAAAAGCTCTTCCCACACTGGGAACACTTGTGGGGTCTCTCCCCGGTGTGGATCCTCCTGTGTGTGACCAGAGCTGAGTTGCGCTTGAATCCCACCCCACATTCGGGACAGCGGAAGGGCCTCTCGTCCGTGTGGATGCGCTGGTGACTGAGGAGTTCAGACGAGGTGTAAAAGCCCTTCTGGCACTGATCACACTCATAGGGCCTCTCGCCAGTGTGGCTTCTTAGGTGGACAGTCAGGTGGGAGCTCTTGGTGAAACTCTTCCCACACTGGGGACACTCGTGGGGTCTCTCCCCGGTGTGGATGCGCCGGTGGACGATGAGGTTGGAG